TCTGGCGCGGAAAAACTCTGGCTTTCAACGCGGCGGAGGGTGGCTGGAAGCCAGAGTTCCTCCACTTCTCTGGCGTCTCTTCACCGGATCTCGGTTCTGCGTGTGTTGCCTTGTCCGGCTTCAATCAATGGGCGGCGGGTTGGTAGTCACCTCGCCGCACGTCGTATGCAAAAATTCCTTTGCTTCTCTGGCATCTCTTCGAAACGCCATACTATTTCACAAATTTTTCGAATTTTTTCAATTTTTATGCGAATTTTCGGCATTTTTTGCAACTTTTTTTGTTTATTCCATAATCAGGCGTCCATCACACCGTATTGATGTTGTTCAACGGTCAAAAATATCTCTCGAAATGTGAGAAACANATCGATGATTTCCAGTGTTTTTCTTGGCAAAAACCAATTTTTCCCAACATTTCTGCGACAAATGAGAGAATTTTCCGTAAAGATCGTGAAAATTTTAAAGAGCAGAGACAAATTCGAGTAATTTTCCGTCAAAAACTGATCGATTGAAGAAAAATAGAGTAGTGCTAACTGCGAAATACCGCCGAATATTTGAAAAAATATAAGAATCTGACTGAGATTCACGTAAATATTTGACCGCATTGCATTTCCAACGTGAAATCTAATGAATTGAGTAACATTTTCACGTAAATTTGATCTAATTCTGCACAAAAAAGGACCAAAATTCAAAATTTGATAATCTTCATGAAAAAATTCCATCATAAAGTAGATTTCGTCCAAAAAAACTGGCGAATTACACTCCAAAATGATGTATTTTCACGGAAAACAGATGGATTTCTCAGCTGATCACAAAGTAATCCCAATAAATTCTCTCATCAAAATCAATATTTTAAGATCTGAACGTGACAATTCATCAATTCATCTATGCAGCATGGAACCAACCTACTTTTTGAACCAAAAAAAGCGCTCAAAATACATAAAACACCTTGAATTTTTGAGCAAATATAGATGTCTCACCACGAAAAGATGTCCACGATTCCTGACACTTACTCTCTGCGATCTGCGAGACATGAATATCTGGAAAAACCCCATGAATCCGACCAAAATCCCAACATTCTGGCCAATTGGAATTGATAAAGTTCGTTTGAATGGGCGCAGAATCGTGTAACTGAACCAACATTCAATCGAATTCGGCATTTTTTGTAAAGAGGACGAAACTACAAATGTGATTTTAACAAATCAAGCTGGCTGATGTCATGAATCACGCATAGATCACAATGGGGATGAAAAACGATCCAACACAGAGATCACAAGGAGCTGATTGATCAGCTCTCATTGTGTTTGAGATCTATCACAACAAGTATCAATAATGATAACAAATAATAATGATGATGAATAACCATAACAGCAATAAATAATACAACAAAAATAATAAATATAATCCGTAAAAAACACTTACAGTTGCTGACGTCGCATCGAGAATCGCCGTAACCAACTTCATCACACAATACTAATCCATTCGAGCGAAAAGTTTTAGCAATTCCTTGAAAACTGACTCAGAATCCGCATTAAACCGCACAGATACAGACGAATAAGGCACAAAATAACACTGAACATGAAATACCATAAGGAGAGAGACGTTACTGTTGAAATATTCATGTCACTGATCTATCAGACGATCAGTTCTATGATATTATTAGAGATCAGGCCATAACTTTTGAGCTGGGCGGAATCGCTCGACAAAATATATACTATTCTGAAAGCAGAGAATCTCAGCTATCCGATGGTGTCAACAAATTAAAACCTTACTAATCAAATTTGAGCATACAGGTAGATAGAAACCTTATCTACCTTATATTCCCATAGCAACCAATAGAACAGACACCTTCACAAAATCAACTCTCAAATTCCATCTGTCATTCTTCTACTGACACAGTCATAATTTTCGCGTATCTCAGGTTGTCCTCTCTCTAAATATAACCTGAAATCGCCTGCCCTCAAAAACTGTCTCAATATCCACACATAACACAGATCTACAAATCCACATATCCCGGAAATACCCATCGATGCATCCTCCAGAGTGCATAATCCCGGGAACATATCAATATTTATACACGGTTAGATTGAGCAGAATTTTATCTTTCTAATGGTGAAAAAACTGCTTAGAAATTCTCACTCCTCGGGAAGATATAGCAATTTTTGTGATCCTAAATAATAGAAATTTGAGGTTGATGTATTCAAGCTCACCGTCTTTTTCCCTTGTCGGATGGGTAACAAGTTCAGTTACATCTTGAACTGTTGTCCATTTATCCTACTTTTACTCAATTCATCTATTGAATAAAAGTAGGATAAAGTACTCCCCAACCACTCCTTTCACCGCTGTTTATACTATTCTTATTTAGGATTATTATTAGTATTATTATACCGTATGACGAACATCAGAACACCTACACTGCGCATACACAGGTCACAACATCTGAAGGTAACCTCTCATTCCTCTTGAAGCATTAAAGTTTAGTGCTAAAACATTAAAGTTTAGTGTTCAGTAGAAAGCTTCAAAATATCCGCCGAAAACAACTAATTGATCCGATTAATAATAATAGAAAAGTATGAACTGCTGGTTAGTCATGAGCCAATTCAGCTAAATGACCATTATTTGTGGATTTGTTTTAGTATGGTCATGTTAGCACAGATAACATAATAAAGAATTTAATAGGTACACTTACTAGTAGGAAGGGAAGCGGTAACAATCAATAGAGAAATAAACAAGTGAAAAAGAAACGAAACAAATTTGAATATGGGTTTAATTCATCGGCTATTCGTCGAGTTCATGAACACGTTAGAATCAAGACGGCACTCCCAAATGTGTAACTGTTCGATGAGGTTCAGATGTACTTGGCCGAATCGTGCCTAGATACGGCACTAATAGTGAGGTCCAGCTGCGAGTCTGGATGGGCGATGACGGCTTTAAGAATGGCGCTTTTATCCGAGAACCATCAGATTTTGTACCAGTGGTAGTGATAAATCGCGTACTATGCACTTCTTTGCGTTTTAGAATAGCATATGTCAAGTTGAGAATTAACCATGTGTCTTACCAGACCTAGATTGAAACATTAATATAGACACCAATTCGCCGTAAATTTCAGTTGAACTTTTCATCAACACTGTGAACAAATCCATTCATAAATGTATACTTTTATTTAACTTTGCCTCATGATTTGGAAACAAGAAATTAGTCTCCTTTGGTCGTTTTTCACGAAGACAACGAACATGAACTCTCTTTACAATGAAATCGACTCATATTTACGCAATTTTCAAATAAAAATTTGCAAAATTCGATTAAAAAAGCCCAGAGATGCCCATTTTGCAAGGGTGCTAACTGCGTTCGGCTTCTTGTTCATTACACGTTTTCTTCACAAAATAGAGTTTATTTTATGAACACATTGAATTTTCAACTGGATTTTACAGACGATTGGTACTGAGAATGATATTCGTTTTGGTGATATACACAAAGAATTGCCTTAGCAACATTCATTAGTGTTTCAGTAGAAGGTAGTATTTGACAGAGTAATTTACAACCAAGGAGACATTCATAATCACTTATAATGAAATAATCAGCACACAACAATAATGTCGATGATATGATCTCAATATTTGGTTCCCGCATTTCGATTAGTAACTGAGTTTGGTTTTGTTTATAAGGTTCATAATTTGCAGATACCTTAACGAGCAAAATTTTGGCAGATAGACTGAATCATGGTCACCAAATTTCTTACACTCGTCGATGATAACACCAGTAATAACCATAAATTAATAATACCAATGGCAATTTTCTGATATAAACGATAATATAACAACAACAATGAATTTGATACTGATACGTGAGTTATACATCAGAACAGGACCATTTTTGACGGGAATTATTCATAACCTTAATTTTTTCTTTGCCATCATTACTGAACATTAGAACAATTCCCGTTTTCTAAACCTGAAACAGTCAAATTTTTCCCACTGTCAAAAGGATATTGGATTTAAGAGATCATTCAAGATGATTTGTTGTCGATCGTCGGCAAACTGATCGATTTATAAAGTGATCAATGAACCCGTTCATGAAGCAAGTCTATTCATTGCTCACTGCTTCAAGATCTCGTCGTGCTCTAGCCAGTAATTCGTCTTCTTCGTCCTCATCCACCCCGCGCCTCAGTCCTGAAATCGACTCAATGTCGCATCTTGCTCTCATCAACGATATGCAACATCCAATGAGCACAACTAAAGCCATCAACTATCTCCTGTCTCCAGCTTTTCACAATCGCAATGCCAATCTCCATCCTGCTGCCCTATGTTCCATTGGTAACTTCGCAACATACATTACTTGAACCACTCGGAGAATAGCAGCATCACCCATCAAATCAATACCAGAGCAAGTGGACCGCAGCTAGATGAAATGAAATCGATTTACACGAGGCGGAATACCTGTTGGGTGATAACTGGAAGTAAGTTGTACTGTACTGGGTATATACGTGTTATAGTCGACTGGGCTGGCTGTTGGTGATAGATTATGTTGTGGTGCGCTGTAATGTTCTTTCATCTCTTCATCGTTCACTTGAGACATTCCACTTTCAGCATAAATCGATGCTGCCAAACGATCATAATCCTGCACGAAAAACATTTCAGTGAAACAAATATTTGATGCATAAAACTAAATGATGCAATATGGGATTGCATCAGTGGATACACAATCACGATATGAGGTTTGCAAACAGAGATGAATCTATCGTTTATGTAATACTTTCAAAAGACGAACTTTTCAGTAACAATGTTGCTGAAAAGTTCGTCTTTTATTTTCGTGGTACTTTGAAAAATAACATCCCCAGCATCATTTTCACCAATTCTGGTGGATGCAATGCAAAAATCTTTGTACTCAGCAAAATATTCTTATAAATTTCATTTCTTGAAAAGATCCATCCAATTTGGGCTCCTGTTTGTCCAGAGTTTGGACTGACTCCCTCTATATATCAAGGAAAAATTAAATGTGATATGAATGAACAATGGAACATTTTGCAGTACTGAACAAAAGAATTGAGTTGATTAATTAATGGCTCATAAGTGAGCAAATCAGTAAGTACTAAACCTGCATTTGTGGCTGTTGGCTGTCAGTGAGTATACTCTCTTGTGACGACTGCGTTTGCGACTCGAATCGCAGTTTATTGTCGATACGATGAATACACAACGATCGATCACTACCAACACTCACCAAATACTGATTACTAAATGAAAACGCTATATCGTTCACCTAAAATTTACAATAGATGATGAAATGCTCACATGATGCGATGATGTTCTATAAGCTATCAATGATAGGATATTACTCAATAAGCTACAGTTGTGACAGATTCAATTTCACTAGCATCCTGATAGTCATGAGAATAAGATAGTAGATCAGCGACAATCTTTTTGCTGGACAAATAAGGATCTCTTTCTGGTTTGGATAAAATGGCCAATGACATAATGCTATGTTCTCATAATTAGCAACTAATTAATGCTGAAAGTGATACTTACCACACCATCATGGGAGGCACTGAACGTGTGCAATTGCTGACCCGTAGACGAATTCCAAACGATTATCATCGAATCATTCGAACAACTTGCGAATCTGTAAATTATTAATCACTTTCTCGCAAAATACGTATCTCGTGACTACGCTTATCTCTACGCAATTCAACAAAATTTATCCAAAATCACTCACTCACCTCTCACCGTCAATGTAGTGATCATAGCGCAATGCAGTGATACTACTTCGATGAGCGCAAAAACTTCGCTTCAGTTGTGATTTTGTAGCACCTCTGAAATTACCGACAATCGTATCAAAAATTGAAAACATTCCGATCTGAGTTCATACTTCTCCTTCAGTTCCTTTTGCATTACTCATTCAGCACATTCAACTCACTTTCGAGTACAGAACGATTATGTGCACACGTAAGACGCAAGTTCGTCAAAACAAACGTCCACATAAGCGCCATAAGTAATTCATAGACCCTATGAATCTACTTCGGTATAAGCCTAAGTCTAATTCCAAGATTAAGACTGAATCTTATTTAAACGGATGAGGCTGAATTGCATTCACGTCCGGTAATTGCCTGCACTAGGCATGCCTAAACCATCAGTCTTCTCAAATGCTCAATGGTTCGTTTTTTCAACGATCAACTCAGAAACAATGAGGACGGCCACATATTTCGCATCAATAAGGCATAAAGCACGGGATCCAACGCATCCAAAGAATACTAATTTTCAGATATCGTATGCAATAGAAACAATAAGCGCTTTTTTGGATTTATTACTGAATAATGATCTCAGTGGTGAGAGACGCGATTAGCTGCGAACAGAATAGATGATGGGTAAACGGACGGATAGTACAATGAATATTAAACTGAAAATTACATTTGATGCAGTTTAATTGTTTTATCATCTGATCCAGTCAGTAACGATGTGGAATCTGGAGAAAAACGCATCGCACGAATTTTAAGAGCGTGTGCTGAAATGATAAATGCAGTGCTCATTGTATACAAATACATGAACTAAAGTGCGTGTATGAAAACAGTGATGAATAATAATATTCCGACCAAACTAAGAGTATACGCATGTTACCAACTCATCGTCAATATCGTGATGAATCAAGAACTTTAAATTCTAGCGCTTGCCTTTTTTGCCATATTTTTGGACTGTAACTGTTTTGTGAACGTGCAAAGTTTTCTATGTTCTTCGCATAATTGCAAAACAAATCTCATGAAGACGAAAGCTTCTCCTATAGAGACCAAGAACTGTAACACATCCATCAAAAAACACAGCAGCCTGCCCATACCCTTCGTTTTTGGTCTGGATATTGCTACGTATAGAAAAGTGAATTATTCTATAGAACATCATCTCTGCTGTGAGTCTAGAAATGATCTCATTGAGGGAAGTGATCGAGAATGCTCGAACGGGAATCGCCCAACTGAAGCATCACTCAAATATAACTGGACATCTATTGTGTTACAAATACAAAATAAAAGTGAACAAATCGGAGAATCAAAATATCGATTTGAAAATTTTTTGGACGAAAAATGAATGAACAAACGATGAATGTTTTCAATGAAACCTTCAAAAAAGAAACGTGAAACGAGTGTTGACGCAGACACAATGGTAACAACACCTTCATTATTCGCGACCGCTATCGATGCACCATCGGCACTCTGAGTTCAGTGAATAATTTCAAATAAATCGTACAATCAGAATGAGGAATCATACTTACATATAAAAGAGCTTGCTTACGATAAATTGCTTTTTAGTAATCTTTACATTTATTTCTGCGCATAGGACAACCAATGATTTGTAGGATAGCTGTGAAATTGTTCCTGAACAGATTTTGAAAATCCATTTGCAATTTGGTCGCAGTATTTGACGTAGATGGATCTGCGCATTTATGCAAAACAATCAACAGTGAGAGTCCTCGGAAAGAGTATTCACTTCAGAAAGCCACTAACATCACTCAACAAATGAATCATTAACTCACATATGCAATAACAGAAATCTGTCGAACAGCATTGAAGGTACCCGATTTTGTGACTTGTCCGTTCATATCGAGCAGTGTTAATGAGCCAGAGAAATTCACTGAAAACTCATTTGGTTTCGCGTTTACTAAGTCATTTTCACTTTGCTTCAGTTCATTTTCAATCAAAAAAACATGAATATGGAAGTGAACCTTCGGAAAAAATGCACAAATTTCTCGAGAAGTTTATATTTTTAGATGAAATTCAAAAAACTTCTTGCAGTATTTGTATTGATTTGCCGAAGAGAAGACTCAATAAATGTGAAGTGAAATGAGACTCTGTGGAGTGCATTGACGTCAAACGAACGAATATTACCGGTAAGGAAATGTTCACGATCAGGCGCGAACAGCAAATGCCATATTTGCATAGTGCCATTGTTGAATGAGTGCAGTGATGATGTTTTATCCTCATAAGAAATTGACACGTAATTCAATGTTGAATCAACACCAACTAAAGCGGCCGCTGGAATAAACTCGGAATAGTCACATAATTTTTTTTTTTCAAAATTAGAGTTGAACAACCTGATGAAAAACGTTCCAAAAGGTGAACTACATTTAAAGTTTCGTTGAATATTGCACGAAGAACAAAAAAATAACTTTTATACTTACAATATATCAGGCAACTGTGTAAAAAACACCGGAAAAAATTTACGCATGAGATTCACCCTTTCAATGAATTTGAAACAACTGAGAAGTGAGGCTATCTGATTGTGAGGATTAATGAGTGACCATAATTTCAAGAAAAACTCGAGGGATTATGCAAATATGGAGGGATCTGATTCCAGAAAATGATAAATCTGAATTAGCAAAATAATTCGAGGAAATGCGAAGGAAATGGCGAACAAGATGAACGATAGAATTGAACGGCACGTCGAGCATGAAAATAAATTTTCCGAATGAGTAGTGAACGCAGTCATGATCTGAAACCGACCAGGAAACAACAGCTCGGGCAATCTTTTTTTTTCACTCAAACTCAGAATTGGACTGGGTTATGCATAAGCTCACTCATTATCCAAAATTGAGTCCGAAGTTGAACGGAAACTGAAACTTGTCATGAACTTCAACTGTGACTCAAGCCATTAAACGAGTTCGTTTCATAGAAGCATATCAAATTGAAAACCATTCACATAAGAACTTACTCCGACCATTTGAAGTTAGATCGAATGACTGCACACCACAACGCCAGCCACTTATTTTCTGTTCTTCATCCAGAGACATTTCATCACTTTCCTCACTTTAAATTTGATAATTTTAAATTTCACACCCCGATATTATGATTAATACTCTCTTATTTATTAATCAAAATCTAAGATTTATGTTCACATTCTTAAGTGCATTTTAAAGATCAACTTCATGTGTTCCTTCCATGTAACGTAACTGGTGATAATTTCAGAAACAACAAAATGAATGAAACAAAACGAACACTTTCCAGATTTTGATGGAATCATGCGAACACGATACTAAAAATGATGCATCTTCATTGAACGGATGACGCACAAAATTTACTGCCACAATCGCACGATCATGAGCTAAATGATTGAACAGTGATTAAATTATTCATCCAGTCAGTGATTTTGCATTTATTATTATCGTTACGGTTGTTACTATTACAATTAATAGGACCATTCATTTAATGGAAACATAAAAGTTCACCTTTCGGAATCTTTTTGATCAAACGAAACTTTTCATCGCCATCTTCTCCTTTCAAAACGGTCATTTTGAAATGAATCCGTAAAAACTGATCACTTATTATCGATCGATTAAGATATCCGCTGAAACAGCAACTTATCATATTCGCATCAAACGTTCACATTTCCATTCTATCGCAATTTTTTAGAGAATCAGTTTCCACTTATGTGAACCGATATACTGAATCGCCAGACTCATCATTTCAAACTGTGTTTAATGTGCCAGTAAAGGTTTGACCGTGAATATCTTCGAAAACAGTGCAAATATTCAGTAAGAGAATAAAATCTTGAAAAACTGCTGTAAAGTAATGCTATTTTTAAGAGAAACGCTATTCTCCAACGATCCTTCAACATTCGATCTGGGCAACTAGCCATTGCGAATGGCTATGGTGGGAATAACGGCCTGCGGGTGACTTGTGGCTATATAGACAGTTCGCCAATTATGAACAGGTGACAATTCGCCAAGAGACGGAACTCACTTGATTTGATAGCTGTTATAACTTTTTAACACCAATTAGGCGCAAATAAATTCAGGCGATTTTTGTACCGTTTTGTAGCGCAGATCCAAGAGAATAATACGTAGAGGGTGCGGCAATAAAGATATACTTGAGATTTTGCGCTTGGCTGAATGGACAACAGTTCAAGATGTAACTGAACTTGTTACCCATCCGACAAGGGAAATTCACAATCAAGATATATACCATCATGTGGCCGAAATTGAGTAACCTAGAATACTACAATAAACTTTGACGGCAATTGTTAAGTTATGATAGTTGTGCCACTTGGCATGATCGATGGTGTTGTGCAGTAGTTGCAACCGGTATGTGATCTAGAGTAGCTGAAATTCTCTGTCTTAACAGAAAAGATTAGGAAGAAAAATGTACACCGTCTTGTAGCCAAGATTCACTAGTTTTCAAAAATGTGGTCAACTTCAACACTAATTGTTAGGCCACGACAGTTATGCCGTCAGTTAACCGATTAATTTTCTATTGAGAGGGACGAATTTGTTACGTTTGTAGCAAGTTGGCAAATAATGAAAAGATATTAGAAAGTATGGGGCGGAGCGTTGCGTTGAGTAGCAAATCGTCCTAGCACCACTAGCATGATTTCGTAATAACATATCAATAAAAATATACTACGCACACGTGCTGTATATACGATTCAATAAGTATATGAATGCATTTGTACTTTATGACTCAGCCGAACGTGTTCAATCACGTTAAAGTGGTTGGTGTATAACGTTTTTATCTGTGCTATCTCTTTGATCTCTGTCATTGTGTTGCGTTGCTGCTGCTGTGGTAAAGTTTGATGGTTTTTTGCATCATCCATAAGCAGGTCCTAGCCGATATTTTCGTAAATAGATGTTAACGGTTGTCAGTGTTTACGAAGCCACATCAAAGGGTAACACGTGTCGGTAAACACGTACGTACATGCTCCTAATATCATTCACGCATGCAACATCTCACTTCTTTTAGGTAGTCGTAAGCACTGTTTCACCCTTTCAAGCACCTCAATAGTTCTTTAAATTAACCATCTCATGTTTCAAGTCGTTAAATCCTCCCTTGTAACCATCGGACTGACTAACTGAATCAGAATCATTCGCATCCATCAACCGGCACCGCTAACTTTGTTTTCGAAACAGTATTCAACTGACTGATAATTTTATTCGTGAACTGTGAATTAATGAAACAATGTTTGATGAAACGAACTTCAGTCAACGGCTATTTGCTGGTGTTTCAGCCGGTACGTATTGCCAGGACGATCATCCGAGCTTGACACTGAACAGCGATGATATATCTGCGTATACCGCCATGAAACGAGAAAATCCACCAGTTGATATGCACGGTTATGCAGCTGATGATTATTCATTGGATGATAAATCACTTGTGAAAGCCACTTCAATGGCTTTTGAATGTTCTTCAAGCCCAAGTCGTCTATGCAGCGATGATCCAATGCTGGCTCAGTTCGATGCTGATCAACTGAAAATAGATGAAAATTTCGATCTCACTGAATATTTGAGAGATGACGAAGAGGATTTTGATGATAAATCAATATGCAACGCAATAGGTTAGTCTTAGCTTGAGTTACTGCCACTCTGGCTCCACTGGAATTCAATCGACTTTCAGTTTTGTTCTACGATCATTTTTTTCCATTCCTAATGGTGCCCTTGTGAAGTTTTCTTTAATTTCATGTCTGAAAATAACTTTAAATTTGCTCAGTTTTCAGGTCCAAAATTTGCACAGAAGCCACTCTCTCCATCGCCGATAGTTGCCTCTACAGCGAATGGTTTTCGTGCTGACCCAGATTCACTATTATATAACGAAAGTGGGGAACAAGCGGAAGATATGCATGAGCATGTGGATTGCACGGCAGTGGATGACCACGATCCGATGCCGTCAACCACAAAGCAGTCGTCGTTACATTCAACAATTAATAATTCGAACAAAATATCAAAACGCGGTCGCCCAATGAAGATAACGAGTCGTTCAAAGCAAGCTATGTACGCACGCGAGTATCGCTTGAAACACAAGCAACTGCTGAGTACTTACGAAAGACGAATGAAAGAACAGGACGAAGAAATTGCGACTTTAAGAAAGCAAAATCAGCAAATGATGGAATCTCTTAATAAGCAAATTAGTTTGAGAAATACACTGGCCAAGCAACTTCGCCATTATTCATCCATTAATTCCCAGCAGAGTGGTCACTTACAAGTGACTCTCGCTGATATTTTTTCGAATCCATCAACCCAACAACTTCTCAAGAACACGAAGACAAAAGGTTGTTGTGTCTATATGAACGACGATAGTTTTACGGTACTGTCATGTGAGGCATGTAATGCTTATTTTGGTAGCGTCATTCAAGGTCCTTCGAAAAACGCGAAGTTTATATCGTCTAATGATAATCCGAATGGGTTCGATACTCCAGTCAATTAGGTTTGATGATCATCTATCAAAATTGTTCGAAGCTGTCATTGTTCTGTCTGCAATTATGTTTCCATTCGTAAATCTCATACTTTATCATTGACCTAGTTTCGAAGTGTGATTAATTGTTGTACTCGGTGATAGATTCTAGCAGTTCTTTCTCAATCGAACTTTATGCTGATGTCGAAGTTTCTAGTTGCGGAGAGCTGAGGGAGTACATCGAGCGGCTCGTTTGAACAAATTGTGCATTTTTGAAATCGTTTTGTGTAATTACGTTTTCATTTGTTAGGTTCCGATTCCTCATATCCTCTTTGCATTATTATGTGAAAACTGTTTCTTTTATTAAACAAATACCTGCAATTTTTCATCATCATCCAGTTCCAGGTTCATTGTTTGTGTATTTCACCTACCGTTGCTTAATTCCATGACAGAAGCTTTCTTCACAATCCATTTTTTCTACGCAAATTGATTCCAGCGAAGTGCGGTTAATTGAATCGTGTGAATTAATGAAACTAATGAATGTTTTGTTGAAGAATGTTTTTCGTTGAATTACTAGCTATTACTGCTAATGTCTTGAATGATAGTACTATATCGTATAAATTTTGAGTTTTTTGTATTGTTTTAATCGAATTCTAACCCATCTCAAGCAAGTTTCGAATGATCATGAAGTGAAAGATGGAACTTTGAAAATGCAATAGCTCAGAGATAAGCTGTCCATTCATTCAAGATCGTTTTTCCATCACATTTGCGTGAGTCTTGGCATAGAGGCTTACCGAATCGTCTATTTCATTTTCGTTGCATTTTATTAACCATCATCGTACGCTGATCATGTTCATATGTTCTCTGGCTTGCTCTATATGTCCATTTTGGTTGTCATTCTAGCAGTACTTGTTGATCTTCTATTAGTGCAAAGCGTTGTTTATTTTCATATGTTATCATGGTTTATCATCGTGCACTCATCATATTCAATGTTTTTTTGTACTCATTATTCATTATCACATTTACTCTTATCATATACCATGTCATGTCCTACGCCATTGTTATTGTCGTTATTAGAGTCTATTATTGTTGTTTGTATGATAGCGTGGAACTGTTTTACTACTCAAACGATCGAAATAGCCTTCTTTCTTCGGTCCCATTTACAGTTCACCACTGGAATGCGGTTTGCGGTCGATGCAGTTCATTATCGATCTCGAGTTGTTCAACAGTTCCGAATTATTTCTGTAATGTTAAAATACTGGTGCATTTGTAAAAATTCAAAAAATTCAGCAAAGAAATCATCATATGTTGATTGTCAACATTTTATTTTGTATGTTAGTGTTGTCGCGGTGTTATGTGAATTCTCTATGATAGGTCTCACAATTGAAAAATTTATCTCTTGATCTTTATTATATTCTTTATGCATCTATTAACAGTTCGATAATTTTGTGATGTTATTGCTGTCAGTTGAATAATATTGGTAGTAGTAACAAAAAAATGGTGTTAACGAATGCAAGAATGAAATAATGTTTGACGCAATATTGTTCGCTCTTACACAGCAATACATTTATGAACGTGCCCTCAACTATACAATTGAGCATCATAAGTACATGCATCTGTTCGATTCCCGATCAAGAATTGTTCATTCATTCGAAAGTCGATAGATTTATAGCGCTAAGGTAAGAGGTAATCATCGCTAAGAGTGAGAAATTGCTCGTTTCATTGTGGTCTAGTTGTCGTATCTTTTCAGTGTTATAGTTACCATATTCATATGACAATAATGAATTTATTTAAAACTGGCATACCACATGTGTCCGAGGTGGTGACGGATATTCCATGCTAGTTGTTATGTAGTGCGCAACAGGAAACACTCATCAAGATGTCAGGTCACTGTTTCATTGTATGAAATGTGGTGACAATTTTGTTGATATGGTCACATATTCAGGCTATTTTTATTCAACAACAGACTATGATAGTGTATTCAATGCTTGTTGAACAAAATGAAACAGTGACACAATAAATCTTCTCGCGATTGCTAGGAGACTTTTGAAGAATGCGTTCGTTCAGAAAAATTTTTTTGAGGCACTTAAAGGATTTTGTAACGCGAATAAACAGCAAGAGGTGTAGTTCAAGAGAAGAAACATTCAACAAAAGTCGTTCATCAGCAGATATTATTTGCGTTTGCATTTGTTTTACGGTTGTGTTCGTTTACTGAAAATATTCATTTGTTTTTTCATTTATTTTCTTACGTTTATTGACCAATGTATTCGTAAGTGGTTTGTATTGTCTTCCTCAATTTTCTCCATCGCTAACATTTATCTGTTCTCTTCATCGATTATATCACTCACAATCAGTTCTTGTCGTCGACGAGCTTAGACCATCGTTTTCCTTAGCTCTCAGAATGATTTTCGTTTTCGTGTTCAAACTTCCATCTACCATCCAAATACTCTCTCTCTCTTCGATAGCTTTGCTTAAACTGTGTTCGTATCCAAAATTTAACCTCAGTTTACTTCAAACTTCGAGTACCGTGCCGGAGAAGTTGCTCTATTTTCAACAAAACGTTTCATTCTAAGCTGACGCTAGGTTTTAATCAAAAACTTAGCATTTCCGTAGGGTAAAAGTCGATCAAAATTCAGACATTAACTCACGGGCTTATGTCCAGCCTGGGTTTAGGCTGGATGATCTGTTCCACAGTCGGTTTGAGGAGTGATGCTTATTATCGATACCTCACCATTGCTACAGCTCATTTGCGCTTGTGAAAAGAATTAATTGACAATGCTCCCNCCCCCCCCCCCCCCCCCCCCCCCCACTCCCTCTCCGATTCGAAGTGAAAATTTTCGATGCATGAAATAAGAATATTTTCATATGGAGATATTGTCAAGCGTTTTGTATTCGTGTTGTTCTTCATGTAAATATTCAATTTGTTGCGTGTTTTATATGTGCGAACACAAATCAATATGTACACATGAACTAAAACATTTCTATTGTGTTATACCTCGTAGTTTGTAGTACACACCACATTCGTTCAGCTCGAAACTGCGCATCGCTGGAATTCATTGTTTTAGCAGTGAGACACAGTTTTGGTAGCAATACGATCTCGTTTCGCATTCCAAAGTCTTCATGCAAACATCTCCCTCTCCCACTATTCAGTCACAAGTTTCAAATTCTGCCGCAATGATTCGGAATTTGTGCAGAGATTTTGCACCATTCCATTTCTGAGCAAACTGGTTTGATGGAATCAACAGATATAGAAAAAGCATCGTTTGTTTTTTGTTGAATTGGTGGTGATAAAAAATTTCTTTCGTTGATAAGTTTCAATAACGTGATTTACAATTGAAGTGTTTACAATTTGTTGTATTTTGAGTGCTGACAGAAGTGATTTTGAACTGGTAAGTTGTCTCCTGCTTGCTTTTATTTTGGATTGCAATTGATATTTCTTTGTTATCTTTGGTTTTTGTTTGCTTATCAATGTATTCATTTTTTTGTTTCTTTGTGGCTCAATTCGCTGCCATTACTTCAAAACAGACAATTTGGTTAGCAATTTCACAGGCATTTTTATCATTCACATCGTCTTCATTATTTCTTTTGAAGTCAACTGCTTTGACGGGATAAAGACGTTTGTAGAATCATCAAAATCCGATACTTCTCCCAGATCTTTGGGAGAAGAAATATAGATGTTTTATTCCAATCCATGCAAGTTGAACTTACTATTAGGCTTATGTCAATAAATGAACTACATTAATAAGTGGCGACGTAATGGTGCAATGGCGCGGCGCCGAGACGTTCAATACTCTGATCTGACGTTATTTTAGTCTATCAGCTTGAATTTCGTCGTTCATCTCAGCGTTTATTCAAAGAGTATCGATACCAAACTCATTCTTGCATCAATGCTGAATGTTTCGGTCCATTCAGAATGCCGCTGGCAATAGGTAATGATAAGAAGCATCAATTCTCAAATGTTTTAAGAAGTGCATTTTCTCCGAAGAGGAGCAGGCATTGGAGTGGAGTGTTTGAAGATTAACGATCGTTTGGCGTAGTAGATAGGTTACAACCTCAATAACAACCATACGCTTTTCTTGGTCAGCCATATGAATTGTCAGTGGATGTGTAATGTCAAATTGATCCATCATATCGTTTCTACGTTTATCATTGCGCGATGCTATTGATGAGTTTATTCAAGAATTATTAATGTAGTCGCCAATGGCACAGGTTTGATCAGATAAGATTTCGTAGAGATTATGTGATATATTATGTAAGCTTATGCCGTTATCTACTCATATTTATTTTACAAGTATGCAAAAGTAGAAGGACTTTATGATATCGAAGTGATCGAAATGTGGATGTTGAATCGCAGTTGACGTTCACCTATTACCCCCTCCCGTTTAAGAGTCGTCAGACGGTAGCGAATGCAGACACAATCGTTCCAACGGACTTATTAAAATGAGTATAATAAAATGAAAATAATAATGACTTGTAAATACAACAACCATAACAAAAGAATCACAGTAATAGTACAAGCAATACAAAGTGTAATGTGCAGTGGTGGACTATCGAAAGAGAGTTGGGCGTTTTAAAATATACCTAGCATCAGACCAGTAATCATTGTTTTAGCTCACGAAGAAACCAAAACCATGTCTCACATGACGATCACTATACTGAAGGAAGCCAGTTACCCAGAGAATGTCAATTTCTACTTATACGTCGACGTCGTTGATTTCTCTATGATATATTGCAGACTGCTGTTGTACTTTCATGCATCCACGCACTTTCCTTTGTGCAATTTAATGAATTATATGAATTTGAATGCGAAAACGATCTTGTTCGTAGATAATGTCCAACTGCTACAGATTGATAAGTCAAAATCGTTAGTGGAGACTGCGAGGAAAGTTATTAATGAATACGTGAATGCACAACTAATGAAACTGAATAATTTTCACTAGACATGAAGTAATCACTCTAAATTTCGATAACTGGCAAAGAAAATTCGAAAGAACCGGAAGATCTGAGCAGAGAATTCGAAATTGATGAGGAGGGAATGAAAGTCATAGTATTAAGCTCAAAACTTGGATTCGGCACTCGACGCTTTAATATTTCGAGGGTTGTTGACGTTTCACTCATATTTTGATAAGACTTCGAGAGAATGTTCTAAAATTTTCGTACCACCAGAAAACTGTTCGTTCGTGCACAGATCAAGAAAACAGCCAGGTTTTGATATATGCCTTCATAATATTAAGCATCAACACTTTTTCCAAACCATTGTTGATGACCGCCTCGAAAAAGCATCTAAAGTCTTCAGAGGATCATAAACCATGCGCTCAGAACAATACTTGATTAATACAGCCAAGTTAGACCATCCAGACGGTTTTGGCCAGCTATATAAATGATGGAATGTGGCCTGACTAGATTCTGAAATGATCATTTCAAAAGTGAAATTAAGTCATGTTCATTCCTCACAAATTTATTTGTCCGTTTAGATCACAATGGAATCAGAAAAATGTTTATGTTGATGAATTAGCACGAAATAATAATGGACAAGAAACACTCAGTTAGAGCGAATCAACAAAGCTAACGCATCTTGTTATTTTGTGTTACTTTGTTTGATATGTGAAGTATAAATAATAACAAGATGTTGAGCTGTTCTATGATGATGACTAACAATGAATCGATTTTGTTTATGACATTAACGATTTTCCCCCTCAAGAAAAATGCCCTCAATCTTGGGATAATTCTCCTGATCGAAATTCGTTTTTATCACGGACGTGACTGGCTCAGTGGTGATTTTAAAAGAACGCGAATCTTTGGTTAATGCTGAATAATTTCAGAGGTGAGGAAGAATGGTATTAACCACAATGTTGCGATCATCCTCCATCACGTTCGGTCTCGTCTCTCATCGTCATCTCAGTCTAAGTGCACTACGGGCAGTCAACGTACCGATCAGTCGTTTTGAACGTGATCACTATTTGCCTTATGATAAACTTGAGAAGAACATCGAAGTTATTCGTAAAAGGTTCATTTGCAATGCTGTTGAAGAAAGTGTTATTTTATGCAGAGATTTTCTTTGATCACCACTGTGACTATTTATCGCCATTCTGTGCTGAGATTTATCGTTTAAGATTGAACCGTCCATTAACGTTGTCCGAAAAGATCTTGTACGGACATCTGGATGATCCACAAGGTCAGGATATCAAACGTGGCACAAGTTATTTGCGCTTAAGACCCGATCGAGTTGCGATGCAAGATGCTACGGCCCAGGTCTAATCCATTCCGTTTTCACGCTTTTCATCTCCTCTATCATGTATCAAGATAGAATAGGTAAAAGAGAGCTATAAGGTGACAGTAAAGACTGAACGGGTGGAAATATACCAAGATTTCAAAGGCTGGATTGTTCAGATGGCTATGTTACAATTCATATCATCTGGTCTACCACGAGTGGCTGTTCCATCGACAATTCATTGCGATCATTTGATTGAGGCACAAGTTGGTGGTGTTGAAGATTTGGCGAGAGCGAAAGATATTAATAGTGAGGTTGTGAAAGTTTCGAATTCTTACAATTAGACCTTTTGTAAAACTTTGTTGAGTGGATCAAGTCTTCATTAAAAGCGATTGATTTCGACAGTGATGAGTGAACAAATTCTGATAACAGTAGTGGTAATGAATATTGAAGTTGTGATACATCGTGCCGCAACATTGTTTTTAGCCACTCTGTCGACCTATTCCAACAATCGGTTCGACCACTGAGAGAAGTGCAATGTCACTTAGGAATGCAATTGGAATGAATTGTTTTTCATTCAGTGTCAATTATATGGCAAATTTGAATTTATGATTCATTGATTGCTGAGTTGGTTGAAATTGCTATAGACAGATTTGTAGTGAACATCAGCTGTTTCTCTGCAGGTTTACAATTTCCTCTCATCTGCTGGTAACAAATATGGTGTTGGATTTTGGAAGCCAGGAAGTGGTATAATCCATCAAATTATTCTCGAGAATTACGCATTTCCCGGACTTTTGTTGATCGGCACAGACAGTCATACACCAAACGGAGGTAAATTTATTGAAAAAATGAATTCGTCGATTTTTGAAAGCAAGGAATTTTTGAGAATCTTAAATGATTGAATAAATATTAGGTGGTTTGGGTGGTATCTGTATTGGTGTCGGAGGTGCAGATGCGGTTGATGTTATGGCGAATATACCGTGGGAATTGAAATGTCCGAAGGTTGTTGCATTCGTTTCGAATTTTGTTGTTTTAATTTTAGGATGAAACGATGAGTAGTATTTGTGAGAAACGTTTGCTTTTTTTTGGAAAGAGTTTTTCTGAATTATTCAGTGTCAAAAAATTCAATTTTGCTATAAATCTGCGCAAATTTGTTGTGGATTATGAAAATTTTTATGAAATTCTTTCATTCATACTTTTCAACTTGCGAAGAGTTTGTGATAAATTATTTGTTTAGTCGTAAGCAAAAAAAAAAGAAAAAGGTTCGGAATTGAACGTCATCGATTATGACTCATCGTCAACAAAAATGCAAAAGTAAACTGCGTTTTTCATCTGCAGTAATTTGCATGTATATGTAACAGAAATTTGAACATCCTTCTAACACGTTAACTATCGTTTCAACTTGAATTACAATGATAGGTGATTGGTGTGAAGCTGCACGGTAAGTTGTCTGGTTGGACTGCATGCAAGGATGTTATTCTGAAGGTGGCCGATATTTTGACGGTGAAAGGAGGAACTGGTGCCATAGTGGAATACTTTGGTCGGTTGCGTTTGTTTTGTCATTAGTGCAATACCATGCATGTCGTTGTTGTCAGTAGTATCGTCATTCACATTCATCAACAAAATGCCGTTGAAGAGTTGTTATTGAAGTGAAATTGAGTTCATAATGATGAATGTAAAGAAGATGAAAAGTTTCGATTCAGGAAGCGGAGTGGATTCGTTATCAGCGACAGGAATGGGAACGATCTGTAATATGGGTGCAGAGATTGGTGCCACAACGTCAGTGTTTCCATTCAACGAGAGTATGGTCAGATATCTGAGGGCAACTGGACGTGAGGCGATCGCCAGAGAAGCTCTTCAACACAAACAGTTGTTGAATGCGGATGCAGGAGCTGAGTACGATCAGGTGCTGAATAAACACTGATGTGGTTTAATGAGATTTTTCAAGTTTTTAACATCAATTCTTTGGTGTGAGTGCAGTCGAATTTAAGCGGAGCACTAGTGTAACTATTTGTAAAAGACAGTAGTGAATTGTCGGTAATCGAACAGAAGCGTAAAATTATGAACTGGCTAAAACCAAATAAATTTTGAATGAATGATTGACGAAAGAGTTTAAAGGTGATCGAAATCAATTTGGACACATTATCGCCATACGTAAACGGACCGTTCACGCCGGATCTTGCCTCTCCCATCGATAAATTGGGTGAGAATGCGAAGAGAAGTGGATGGCCTTTAGAGGTGAAAGTTGGTCTGATTGGATCGTGTACGAACAGTTCATATGAGGATATGACTCGTGCGGCGAGCGTCGCTGAACAGGTATTAATGCCTTCACGGTTGCATTCATCGATTCGGTTGCAGAATTAAGTTCGGATGAAAATCAGTCTATTGATTTTTACCTTTTGCAGTTTCATATCTAATTAGCACCTTTGCACAGTCTGTAGCATTTTTCATCAATATTTTTTTACACACCATTAATTTGCTGTTCAGAAAACGAACTATGAAATATGCTTCAGGCATTGGCGAAAGGAATGAAATCGAAAGCAAAATTCACGGTAACACCTGGTAGTGAACAGATCAGGGCAACGATCGAACGTGACGGTATCGCGAAAACGCTTCGAGATTTCGGTGGTGTAGTACTTGCAAATGCATGTGGTCCTTGTATTGGTCAGTGGGACAGAAAGGATGTCAAAAAGGTTTTCTGATTGTACAATATGATAGGATTTTGTATTGCTTACGATGAAGCTTGGAGCATGTTTGTGACGGAGTTTGTGATGAAAGGTTGCTTTAGTTGTGTTCTGCAGTGTTTTCGAGATTAGATTCAGAACAAACGTTGTGATCTCTTGAGAGTATATTTGGTTTTTGGAGTGTTTATTTGAATTGCTTCTCTTGTTAAAGGGAGAAAAGAATACGATCGTGACATCGTACAATCGTAATTTCACCGGTCGAAATGACGCAAATCCGGCAACTCATGGATTTGTAGCTTCGCCTGAAATGGTCACCGCTCTAGCGTTAGCTGGAACTCTGGACTTCGATCCTCGAAGAGACTTCCTCACCGCACCTGATGGTAACCTAATGGACTCTTCAAATTTTCAACCTCAAATTCAGATTTTTCTGTAAAATTTCAAATTGAAGCTTCAAGTCTAGTAATATGTTCAGTTGTTTAAATCATTTGCTCGCAGTTCAGTTGAGTTCTCTCTATATGAAGGTACCAAATTCAAACTGGAACCACCAACTGGTGTAGAGCTGCCATCAAGGGGCTACGACCCAGGCGAGGATACGTATCAAGCACCCTCCGGAAGTGGTGACGTTGTGGTCAGTGAAGAAAGTCAACGTCTGCAATTATTGGAGCCTTTCGACAAATGGGATGGGCATGATTTGATCGATCTTACGGTTCTTATCAAGGTAATGATTCGATTTGATTTGTACAGTGATTCATTTCAACGTTTGTTGTGTTCTTTCATTGATTTATTGATGTCGTTTGAGGTGAAAGGAAAGTGTACAACGGATCATATAAGTGCAGCAGGTCCTTGGCTCAAGTATCGTGGTCATTTGGACAATATCTCAAATAATCTCTTCTTGACTGCAGTGAATGCAGAGAATGGTGAAATGAATAAGGTGTTGTGAATCGTTTCTGTTCATTCACTTTTCATAATAAGTAACGCTGATAACAGATAATATGCAAATCGTTATGACTGTGCACACATTGCGTGTCACTGATCATGAGTTGTATTGATGATAGTGATGTTGCACTGGTGATGATTACGATTATAAGTGATGAATATAGATTCGAAATCAAGTAACGAGAGAATTCGGACCTGTGGCCGATACAGCTCGTTACTACAAGAGTAAGGGAATATCGTGGGTAGCAATTGGTGATGACAACTATGGAGAGGGTTCATCTCGCGAACATGCTGCGCTTGAGCCGAGACATCTGGGTGGACGTGCGATCATCGTGAAAAGCTTTGCTCGCATTCATGGTGTGTGATTACTTTCGTTCACTTATCTTGATTCGTATCATTTGTTCATGAGATTGTTGATTGCTAAAAATAATTTGTCATGAAGGCGATGTTGCTTAACGGTTTAAATGAAACGTTCAGTTTGGATGTTAATGATTGATAGTAAGCTGATGTTTACGGACTGTAGAATTGGATTGTGGAATTGGTCTATTAACAGTTTATACTTATCCTACGTACCTGATCGATTGCATTTGTATTCATTGATTGCGTTGTTTCTTCTTTATTCATTCATCACTTATTCAAGTTTTTATCTGAGGTTGAGTGGTGAAAGGAATGTTTGTATTGTCATATGTGGAGTAATCATTGATAAGTTGTTTTAACTGCAATTTTCATTTATTGTAGCATTGAGAAAAATTATCTTCATTCATTATTATTCGATATATTACGAATGATTTGCCATTCAGCAAACTATTTCAGAGACGAATTTAAAAAAGCAGGGAATGCTTCCACTGACGTTCGCAAATCCATCAGATTACGATAAAATTCAACCGGATGATAAAATTTCACTGATTGGATTGTCACTTCTATCACCCGGAAAGGTACTGTTGCAATTCGATTATAATCCTTCGATCACCTTTTCATTCATTTATTGCACGTATAACTCTTTCATGGCACATATTCTTCAATTGGACAGTTTTGGTGGCAATGAAGTGTAACTGATGTTGATGAAGTTTTAGGCAGTAAAATGTGAGTTGAAACACTCGAATGGAACGACTGAAGAGATCTGGTTGAATCATACGTTCAATGAACAGCAAATCGAATGGTTCAAAGCTGGATCTGCTCTGAATCGCATGAAAGAAGTGTTCCGTTCAAAGCGAGCATAGAATCGAACGTTACAGTGATCATTCAATCGATTTTGCATTCATCGAATGTGCAATCGATCAGATATCACTGTTTCGTCCACATACATTCTGCTTATCCCCAACCGAACTCTTCGAATCCCTCTTGAAAAAAAAAGACATTGAAAGAATTGTGAATTGGAACATCACTCGATTGAAACGCTCAATGATTGCAAATACCCACATCGTTTTCTTAGTTGTTATAGGTTTTTATACTTTACCTCCTCATCACTCTTCTTGGTTCAGTTACGATTTTTGTTCGTTTCCAATACAATCGCATTCTTATTTTGTTAGCTGTAAATCTTTAGCCAGCCTCTGCTGTTGTATTCTTCTTCACGATAATGTGCATCGTTTGTGATAATTTTAGTTTGTCAGAATCTGTTATTTCGTCAAATTCGTTGAATTATTTTTCTATTTTTTTGGTCACTTTTGTCCTTATATCGTTTACGAATCTATATTAGTATATAGATGATACGAATCTTATATTAGTGTGTAGAGAAGGAATTTTCTTAGGCAATTTCGGTTGTACGAAAGGAATTTCCTAGGAAAAATCTCAGGAAAACTTCCGGCAATGTTTTACGTTGGCCAGCATGTCGTCTACACTCGATATATACATATACATATTTTCTCGTCTAAACTGAGCATTATCATTCTCGCAATGATGTTTTTTTTTCATTTTTCTCAAAGCGATACTTCAATTCAAATTCGAGAACTCAGCAACTAAGTGCTTTTTGGTATGTGCTGCAAGCATAGAATGGCGTTTGTTCTGAATTGTTTCTATAAATGAGTATTGAGTGAAGCAAACCATTTGAAAAAAAGTGTTCGGGTGATCGAAGAAAACGTTCAATTGTTGGGTTTTAGCATGTTCAAGATTACATCCACATCTTGAATTTACCTCATCGTTTATCACTTTTTATTGCTCATCAGTTAGTCTTTTTCTATCGTCAGTATTTTAGAGGCAATCAACAGATGTTTTTCGAAGTGTTAACTTCTTTCGATTGCAGTTAGATCACTATTTTATTTGCGTTATTTTCACGTTTTATATTTTGATAAGCGCATGTATGGTATGTCTGTCTGTTGTATTCTTATTATATCGTATGTGATTATTATTCATCGTTTGTTATCATCTTCATCATTATTTAAATTTGTATCGTTATTGATTTAGGTTTATGTAGTTGAGAGTTGACTATTTTGAGTATTATTAACTTCGAATTTGGTATTTTTAACGAAAAAAATCTTTCACAGAGTTTTGCAAATAGTGCGTAATTGTTTTCAAGTTGATCCATTTTCTTGTCTCATATCGATTGTGTGAAACGAGAGATTGAATATAATCAGTTTCAAGTGTGATATACTAAAATATTTTGTGATTATAAAGTAATTTTCAAAATGAGTCAATGCTCGTCATTATAATGATACATTTCGAGAAATTCTTCATTGGTGTAGGCCATACTAAATTCATTAATATCTAATTTTCGATTTATTATTTTTAAAATTCCAATCTACTGAATCGTTGTTTCGATTGAATACGTTGACGACGATAGCACTGATAGTAGCCAACTGGGTGCAGCGCCTTGCAGATAACTACGAGTTATTGCATTCGCTCGATTTGTAGAGATTAAGTTTAGGGTTATGGGTAGTATGGCAGATTGCATGACAACATAAGCCGTCACGCTGATTGCCGACTCTCATTATTCTTCATGTCCGTGAATTATCGCTATCACCTGAATTATTATTATATTTATCATCACTTTTAGCATTTTCTACCATTTATGTGATTTTAGGGCAATCCGCAATAGAACGTCATCCATGTTTTAGGTTTAACCATCCGAATCTAGGTTTGTTTCACGCAAATGACGCTAAACTTGAAGTTTTTAAAATTTCTAGTTTTCGTCCGCTTGTTAGAGTTGTCCACGAACTGAATATCATACGAATGTGATATTTGGCTCTGTGCACAATGAGTTTTTTTAAAGACTGCGTGCTTTACTGGTGGGGTGTGGGGATGGGGGAATTTCGGGAATCCCGTGCCCGACTTTCTTCGAGTCAACCACATTTTCGGCCAGCCGACTGGAAAATTCCGTCCTCGATTTTCCCTTTCATTGACTTTTTTTTCGTCCCCGCACCACGCTATGCTATACATTGCAATCATGTTCAGTGCATTCGAACTTAATTTAAAAATCACTTGCGCAGTTTCAATGGTTCACAGTTGATATGTTTAATGGCTGGTATGTTTGATATGGCTTTTTTTGGGATTCTGAATTTCTAGTTATTCACAGAAACAACCTTGAAGAAAAAGTGTTAAGAAATGGCCACAAAAACCCCGAAAATAGTCTGAACAGTACATGCATATTCATTCAGGTTGATAGATATAAGCTGATCTAAAAGAGTAACGAGATTGATTCTATGTAAATTGCATAATTACAACTTGTAATTGCATAACTTGTCATCTTATAGGCCTATATCGGTAATTGGTCTCAGAGGTAACGGTGTTAGTCAAATGACAACAACAGTTGAACAAACACCTTATAGGTGATCATTAGGCATGCTCAGAAGTATTATTGTAATGCACATACATCGTCGGGTAGTAGTGTGCTGCTGGTGACCAATTAAAAAATGAGAAGTCTTTCGAAGAAATGTCATCTTCTTGCTGTTTTACATATGCTTTGTGAGAAGTCACGATTAGTAAGGGATTCATTGAGATTAGTCGCGGTCAAAGATGGGCACGCTGCTGAAAACCAGTAGCTTGGCTATCGCTGATCCGCTGAGAAGAATGCGCTATCGCTATTATCGCCAAAACAGTAGCTCACCTCTGGTCGCAGTTATTGCCTATCGCAGTGTGCTTCTCATTTGCTCAGCAGAGTCTGAAAATAAGTATGATGACTTATTTGATTGGCTGACAGAATGAAGTGTTGTCAGGAAGGAGGTAGGCAAAGATTGCATCAATAGAAAATAATATCGATTCCATGTGAAAAGAAAAACGTTAAATAAATCAGCGATTGTCCGTAGCGTTATCTGACGATGAGTTGACAATGTTTAGAACCTTGATTGAAATACGTTTCTCGTCATGGTACTTCACTGTATTTGTGATGAAATGATCGGAGAAAGCAATTTTTGAAAAGAAGTAACTGTAATGATCAAAGATTTTGAATAAGAACTTCATACAGCAACGTAAAGAGGCACCCGGGGGTGTTCGTTATGCATATTAGACTCAGCATGAGGCGAGAGCAGAGCGATTTCTGAACTTTCACAAAATTCGTAGCCATCATAAAGGTCACCCCAATAACCTGGCATATCACAATAAGCTGGTATACCTTTTTCGGCTTTGCACACGAAATCTGATATCTGTTATTCAACGTCGTTGAATGTAAGAGCGTAAAGCAAGCAGCTTATCTTCCTCAACGAATTGCTTAAAATCACAAAAAAATTTGCCTGTGGTTATTTCATTGGATGTCGCACTTTCATGTGTTACGTCTTTGAAAAATGGATATAATGTCGTTGTTGAGAACTATTATGCATGAATTATGCATTGATTATGCATGAATCAATCCAGTGATACATCCATCACGTTTGCATGTCTTTTGATTGGTTGTTCGAATAACACCAACGCTTCCTCATGGCTCATTTTTTCAGTAAACGAAGCACACTGATCATGTCATCCATTTATCAAAAGTGTGACGCGACAGTCAGTTTTTCATTTCTATCGCAGATTTTGTCTCTTCGTTCATGGATGGTTAAAATGATAATTTTGAGTCATTTGGCCGGCTTACTTTGTTTTGCGATTAATGTTGTTGACCTCTTTCTTAAACCTTCTCGTCAATACAGTCAAATTATTCGGACTGAAGCAAAATTCTAGCGGTATCGGAAAGCACTTTTTATGTCCTTTTATATATGTATCGTTTCATTTTTTGAAAGATTTATTTTTTTGGTGTTTTTTTCAATTTTTGCCATCGACATTTTTTTTCATTTGCCATCAACTTTTGTCCTTTTTCATTTGCCATCGACATTCTCATGAGAATTTGTTTTTGAAAACTCGCTCTGAAAACTTCAGATATAGACACACGCAGTGATGTACACTATGAATGAAAGTGATCATTGAAACACATGAATTCTCACTTGTTGAGTTTTTACTTAGAGCAACGGCCTACCAAATAATCCAACTGCCAAATTTGGAGGCACTCTTGTTCGTGTGTTGCGCGATTACTAACCAACATTGTGTATCGTAGTGACAATCATTACACCATTTCGCATCGTTCAATGTTTTTAGTATCATTTATGGAGTGATTTCTGCATATAGTATGAATCGTCTTATAGAATTTGTTGCTCGTTTATACAATTGCTACAACTCTTTTTGAACTTATTCCATTGAACAGAATTCATTTGAAAACGAAATTTTATTTTGGACAATGAAGTGCCATAGCATCGAAACTGATATAGGTCGTGACATAAGCCATAAGTCGACGTGTGATTGTGAATGTATTTCATTGATTCTTTCATTGTTGCGCGGTCACTTGACATTACGTAAGTGACATGACTAAGTTGCGAATAAATGATCTTTCTTTCCGAGGGTTTTGGAAAAGTCTTTCCTCTGAACTTGTGACTGACTAGCCTTTGTTTTACACTAGTAGTGCTGAACTGAGCGAATCGGTAAAGTAAGTGAGTGAAATGTACTAGAAGAAGAGATAAATAGATGAAGAGGCGTAGATGTTAATCATTTTCACGAATCATGCGATCGAAACCGATGTCAGAGAGCATCGCAGTGTTTGATGATCAGATGAAACGCATCTCATCTGTTTTTTTTTTCCATTTTTCATTTCAGTCTTTCGCCTTTCCAGCGATCTTCTCCCATTGGTCGTCCCATACCATATGATAAGTGCGTTCTGCTCCCGATCTGTCGCTCACTCGTATTCGTTCGTTCGTTCGTTCATTCATATACCATCGAAAAAGTCATCATTCTTAGAGTTCCAGCAAATTAAGTAGAATATTTTGAATATGCACTCAAAAAAATAACCACAATAATAACATAACCATAATAACACAACAATAACAACCATAATTGTATGAATATTTTGTTAATAATTATAAATAAGTATTCCGAACTTTATGTTATCATGTCACGTATGTAGGTGGTTATGTATGAATAAAGTAAGTGATTGCTAGATGACATGATACGATCAGATGCGATCTGTGAATGTAAATGCGTTCGTCGTGAATGTGCCGTTGCAAATTTGGTTCTTCATTATTATTGTGGTATTGGTTTGGTGATTGATCAATTGCACAATGGTGCAATCGCACAGTTGTGTGTGTGTGTGTGTGTGTGTGTGTATGTACGTGCATCGTGCTGTTGTTGTTGTTGTTATGTTCGTTCTGATAAGATATGATGCGTTCCGTTCGGTAATGCCTAAATTTTAATGAAACGATGCCTGATTGTATTGAAATTAGAATCAGATTGAGTTGATCCTTTAAATTTACACAAATTCAATCCGACTGCTGCATTCAGTCAGCTATCAAATGAGGTAACCTCAATGCTCGCATCTGTTACGATAAATTCTTATTATTGTTCGTTGATCGTTGTGTGTATTCCAAGAAACGAGGTGCATCAGAATACCATCGTACATTCCGTCGTCATGTAGAGGAATTCGCCGTTCGATTTTCGGTGATGAGCTCGCGTATTCGACCAGTAAATTTTACGATGTTTTTGTTGTATTTATTTTCAGAGAGGTGTTCATTTGTTTTGTTTGTGATCGTATTGATTGGAAAATACGGAAATTAGGGAAAAATTAAGAAAAATTCAATGAATCTGAACACTAAACGATGACTTCCGCGACTTCCAGAGCTCTGCTGCGACTCTTTATCGGTCATAGGCAAGTTTTTTTCTCGAATTGCTTTCGTCTTTGAAACATTTCACTGGTTCAGATCAGATTTATCCATTAATTTGTGTCATTGACTCATTGGTATCAAGGTGATAATAGTTCGATTTTTGTTTCGGCACTGCTGAAAAGTTTGAAAGTTTCATATTCTCGTTGAATGGTTAATGCAATGGATCTCAACCCAATTTCAGCCAATTCTAGAGTTGAGTTGAATGAAGGAGGTGACCAAATCAGTCATTTCCCTTCCGTATCTAACATTATGAAGTGACCTTACGATCTGTAGACAATTTATTATAGAAGGTCAAAAACTATGGTGTGGTATTTACATAATGAACGTAGGGCGTGTATGTTCTAATTAACAAGGGAAGGTCACGAACTTTTCCCCGCCATATCTCGCGTCCCCCTTGTGCTCCGCAAAAAATTCATGCATATTCATAATCAGCTATATGAGCCCTACTACATGATATACATCTCATCCCGAAAGGTTGGGGTAAGTTCGTGACCTTCCTTTGTAAGACAAATAGAATAATGCCTGTTGGGTCAGGTGCGTTTCGCAGAAAATCAAAGCAAACAATCTCACGATCACTACGTTTAAGAATCGATAGAAGACTCGTGAGAGAAACGTGCGTCGAACCTAACTGATTGCATCGATCGTTGTTTTGCCTAACAATAAATTAAATTCTTAATACTCGTCAGCAATGACAGTAATTTAAAGCGCGATGATGCTAATAACAATGTGATGATTTCTCAGGTCCGAAATGCTTGATCGGCCAACGCCTCAAGGGCATACACACAGATGGACGGTGTTCGTGCGTTCGGCTGGGCAGCATCAATTCACCGATCGAACTTTCATCAAAAAGGTTTATTTATACTGAAATTGATCTGTGGGTAATCATTGTTTAAAATCTCTATTGATTGCTTAGCACAAGAGATGCACGAGAAAACGTGTGGGAGTGAGTTACGAGTTATGAGTAGTGGTTCTGTGGGAGTTGGTTATGAAGCAAACGCATATGAACGTCAGTTGTGAGCCGAGGATGTTGATTGATCGTGAGATATTGTAGCACTTCAACTGACAGCGATCAAATGATAGATTTTATGAATTGAAAAAAAAAGAGTTTAGCGTTTAACCGAACAATTCAAATTTCTAACGTCGACTTAACAGCAGTAGAATGAAGATCAGAGTCAGTTAGTTACTTTGAGAAATTGAGCTTTTTCGGGACTCAGCATAGCGTTCCGGACACATCTACTTTAGCTGGTTGATTCACAGAATTGAAAATCGTCTGTCCGAATAAAACGATAAGCTGCGTTAAGCACTTGTAAGCATTTTCGAGAATTGTTCAGTCAGAAGCAACGAGACGGACTCATACTCATTGATTGTTGATCGTTCTTTCTGGTCTCTGTTTGTACCAGAACCATAACCAACGAATTTGAAAATTAATTCGAATCGCATAATCATGATTGCTCTTTTCTCGTTAAAGTCTTCCTCAATCAACATACATTAATGGTATAAGTAAACCCACTTGAGTTTGCCTCACCCAAATGATTGAATTTGCCTCAGTGATCAACCTTCAAGAGGCTTCACTCTGCTCTTTGTCTAGTACCTGATTGTGTTCGAACACGAACTAATTGAAATTTGTCCAAGCATCAACTCAATTTGTGACTGAAGTTTATTTGAAATAGTGTTGAGTGTTGTCATCTTCATGAAGCAACACTGTTGTGCACTGCAAAGTAAATCGACGACGCATCTGATCAGATGATGAGATCGTAACATCGACAGATTGTGATGCTATGATCTTGTTGTTAGTCACAACAAAATCCGAACTGGAATCTACATCGCCAACATATTGTCTCCTCCAAGTATTCAAATACAGAATTCGATCTATTTCACCGGATGAATCGGATTTGTATTATTGATAAAATCACGATATTTACATTCAAATCCCTGATAAAATTACGATAAACATTTAGCAAAAGCAAGTAGAGAAATTGAGAGAAGACGTTAGCTAACCCGTAAAACCTTTCTCATTTCCATTTTGCTGACTCAAATATTATATGACTGATCCGCTTAATATGATATCGCTGCCATTCTGTGATGATGTTATAATTTGTTATGCTTTTTCTGTTTTTTATCCTTCCCTCTCTAGCAATAGTTGGGGCAATATATTCACCATATTGTTATCATTTGTACCGAACTTCGCTAAACATGTTGTTATTTGAATAAGTATTATTATTCCCCATTACAGGTTGTTTTCGAGCTTCATCCAGATTTTGCGAATCCTTATCGTGTCGTCAAAGAGCCACCGTTTGAGGTAACCGAAACCGGCTATGCGGGTTTCTCAATACCCATATCGGTGTCTTTTTCTGGTACATCCAAGGTGTATCGACTTTATTACGATATGAATTTATGCCTCGGTTAGTTGACACGTTTGTCATTCCACTTTAATGACTTCCTACTGTTATTATTATTGTTAAATTATTGTTATTATTTTTATTATTATTGTTGGTACAGTTTGTTTAGTTGTTTTTATCGGATCTTCTTTACGGTGAAACGTTTCAGAAAAACAATCTGAACATAAAGTGGAACAAATTCTGGAAATCAAACAGCCATCAAAGTCATTTTATGAGCTCATTATGAAATACGGTGGTGTTGTGAAGAAAGGTGAACGAAAGGAAAAGCATCGACTCAAACCAAAGCAAATGCCAACAGAAAATACAAATGAAAAAGAGGACGATTGTCCAACTGAGGATTGCAACAAGAAACGAGAAAAGAGTAGAGATCATCAGTTGGAACAGACAAAAAACCGAAAGGATCGCGAGTTTGTTGATTGTGTAGAGTCGCGAACGAGACGGGAACGAGATCGAGAACTGCTTGAAGAGGAAGACACGATCAGTCGGAAAGAAACAGAGCAGCAACGCCAGTCGACAAAGGAACGTGCTGTAGATGAGAAGTCAGGTATAGAAATGAGAAAAAACTCGGAGGCGAAAGACGAAAATGAGAGACGAAAGGAAAAAGAGTCGTCAAGAAGGGTGGTTGATAACGAAGTTAGTTAAGGTTCAGTAATTTGTTTTATGCAAGGATGATGATGTTTCTTACTTGTAATTAAAAACTACTGTCAAGCATATCGTGGTGATTCGCATCATCCTGATACGTTGGTATTTCCTCTGGTTCGTATTAGTGTTAGTGAACAAATGGAGAAGTGATCCGCAGAAAGCACTCGAACCATCAAGAGATCACCTAACCAACGTTATGCACACAGATCGGAATTCGACTTGCCCTTACAGCCTATATGTTTCCACTCGTTCATTGATGATAGTTTTCGAACTTGTTTTGTTTCTCAGAGTTGTCAGGCGACAGCGATCTCGTCCGCTCGAAGCAACAAAGTAACACCGCGTAGTAACAATGATCGAATATCATCGAATTCGGTGAGTCTTTTAGCGATTTTATCAGTCACATCTTTGCATTCATTTGTTTACCAGTTCTGCTTTCAACACAAACGACTTCATAGAGTCGTCAGTGACTAGCCGTCGTTTATCTTCTGCTGATGATCACTCTATGAAGTCCAGTTTTTTATCAGTAAGTCAGTCACGTTTCTCAGATTCAGTAATGTTCTAGGAGCGAGAAAAAGTGAAGCGCTCGAAGGCGAATAATGACGAAACTGAGTCGGTCGTTGCAAAGAAGTCTAGGGTATTTTTCGTTCATTTGTGTTCGTGTAGGGTAGCATCTTTTTGATTATTTTCATTTGAGGAGATTTGTCGAATAGATAAGTGAGAAATTTTGGAGGAGCAAAATCGATAGTGTTTTGTAGAATGTTATGCAGTGTTTTGTATTCTTCATCTAAATTCTGAATGTTTTTATCGATGTGCTGCGAAAATGTTGAATAGATCAAAAAAATTTATGAATAACGGTACTTCCATTGTGCACAGTTTGTTATCTGTTTGAGATGGACGATGTCGAATTGGAGTCACTAAAAGCGCTTCAGCGGAAACTAATGACAATCTGTGATGTGGAACGCCTGCAAGCCATTGTTGAGGCGGTTATCGCTTCAGGGCCCACATCCGGCCTGCAAATGGCTCGAATGTGCTTATCCGAAGATAATTTTCTCTCGTTTGATCTCTGTGCGTTGAGCACATCGTTACTCTCGCAATTCGAAGAAATTTGTTCGAAACAAGTTTAACTTGTTATATTCTACGAATATACTAAGCAGTCATGAATCATCTCTCAACGCATTTCGTTTCCATGTAATATTATGTAATGATATTGTTTTCCTCATGTATTATCATCACCTCACGTCATCATCATCATATTGCTATATTTATTTCATTTGCTTGTACTTGTATTTATGTGTGGCTTTTTAATTTCTTTGTAATCATTTGTTCTATTTCACCTCATAATGACGTTTCACAATCAGCAATCCATCAGAGATGGTTGGTCATAACGAGAATGTGAAATCCGTAATTCATATTGATCGCAAATAGCGCTTCAGCGACGAATTAAATGAGATCAGTTATAAGCAAGATGAAAGATGTATGGTGATTTGATATTTCATCTCTAACATCCGATCTTGTCGTCATATCCATCGCATCCTCGAAAGGATCTATTTGGATTAAAGGTTCATTCGTTCAGATCTTAACAAACATCGTTGTTCGCATATGACAGATTTTTGCCGATTTCCTGTCTTAAGCTGGGCTATTACCTTTATTGATGGGCTAGTACTAACATCACTGATTGACTGATTCGCTTAGTCAGTTGATTCACTGTAAATGTTGTTGTTGTTGTTCAAAATGATGCTTTCTTATACATACGTTATTGTTGAAGTTATCGTAATTGTTGCGTTATTCCATTTTAAATGGCACCGATGTGATCTTGCATAAGTGATATTCCGTTTGATCTATAGAGCAGCGGTCCCGACGCTGGGGGTGCTCCATTACTCCCTTCGATGGTTTAGCAGGCCGTCACTATTCCTTCCCCTCCCCGCGCTACAATAATTTACTAGTTCTACGCAAAACGTCAGAACTAATTTCCCGACCCTCTGCATTACCACTCCCTGACACTTCCAAATTACCCTAATTGGGTGGTTCCTCCCCTATGGGCCTCTCCTATGGGGACCCCTGCTATAAAGTGTTTATTGCTGATTTACAGAGGGTTTATTTTGCTATTCATAGTGTGTATTTTTGTTTAGTTTTTAGCGGTCATTCAGTGAAGGCATTCATCCGATTTTCACAGCAAACTTATTGTTAGTAGTTTGATTTTATTTGTATTGCATATTCAACATCGCATTATATTATGAATGTTCTTACTAGTAGTTATTAACATTTATATGTGTACTCATTTGTATATCACCTATTCATTTTGAAAAAATTGTATTAACCATGTTGAAAAGACTGATAATCTCGCTGAATGGAATTTCGCATCTGTGGATTATTGGAATGATAATTTTGATATGAATAGTGTTGATATCAAATGGGTGATTGCCAGGCTTAATGTAGATTTGATGACTGGCTGAGAGGTGTCACGGAAGTTGAGGACGTATGAGGGAAAGGAACTTTGATTGAGCGAGGAAGATAGCATTCAAGGTGGGGAGAATGAGTAAAACGAGTAATAATAGAATGGCAACACAGGGTCTGAAGGTGTGTGCAGGTATCCGATTTGCAAGCTAATCGATCGCAATTGGATGCAGAAAAGTGGTAGTGTGTGATAATCGTGATGATGTTCAAAATTTCATTCATAAATAGTTGAAAAATAAACATCAAGTGGGGTTGTATGGGGCGTTAAATATCATCTGCCAATTAGATTGCCCTGATTTTCAACTGATTCGTTAGAATGTAATCGGTGAAAAAAGAACAGTTCGCTTATACATTTTTTTTTTTGTTATTTGGTCACAGTCATGGAAATGAAAATTTCTGGGGCAGTTTCCTTGCGTAGATTACTGAATTTCTTGTGGTTGGGCATCAGTTTCACGCAAATTCCAACTGAAATTTTCTCCAACATTACAAATATATATTCAAGATTTCCACAGTGCAGCAATGCCTTCTGATTCGGAAACTAAAGATCTATTAGATAACGAATAAAGTTAATGAATTGGCATTTTAGAATGGTGTCAACTGCGTAGGTGAACTTCACTATCAACAACAACAAACCATGCTCACCACATAAGAGCTACTCATGGTCAGCGTACTCGATCGCTGTCACAAAATGGTGGGAAAAATTCATCTACGAGTTTTTTTTTAAGTCTATCTTCAAAGATATTTTCCAGTTTATTTCAAAAACGATAGTTTAATAGCAACAGTAATAGCTGCATAGTAACAGTACTAGCTGAACTTAACAGTGACAAAAACGATGGTGAAATATTATATCTCATGATTGATGTCAAGAATGAAATACTAATGAGAAGTGACGTACCCGATAACTCGGTGACGTGATATCATTAGCTTCACAAATCATTCGCTATGACCTTAGCATTAATTTTACGAATACAATAAATTGTAAGTGCGTATTCGATGATAGATTTGTTGAGTAAATGAAGTGGTCAGGAAAGGAACGCATACTGGAAGAAATGCTGTTGTTGCTGCTGTCAGCTTGCGAAACGAACCAAGCAAACAACCCCCATCGACTGGACGGACTATCGACAACGCTAAATGTTTCCTGTCTTGCATAACAACGACTCGCAACAATCACCGTTCACATCGATGTCTGTCTTTTCAATCACCTATTCGACTATGTCTTAAGCTATGCTCAACATCCGTAAAATGTATCTTCCACAACAACACTCCACCCATATACAATCACAATAACTCAGTTTCTTCCAAAAATTTTTCGCTATCCTCGTGACGACTTCTACTACGTGTAACCACTTCTTCAGTTGTTGATGAACTTGAAAAATGTTTGTTCAATGGTGCCACTAATATAATACCACAATAAAAATAACGTTTATGAAGAAAGTCTTTCAATTCAGGCGGAATATAATTGCATGAGGCCAAGAAGTGTTATTGCGTAGGCAACAGTAGGTATGACTGGATGAAAGGCGGTCAGACTAGCAATGGGCACTATTTTGTTTGCATGACCATCATGTAATATGCTCATGCTTATATACACATTCATGAACGATTAAAATCCGCCTGCTGGCAACCATCAAGCAATATTACTATACTTTCTTTGTTGTTTTTTAGAGTTGGCCAAAGTGCTGCTCCTTATTCGTAGAATATTTTATGCCTATGATTTATGTCCACAACAAATTCTCTCTCCGCTTTCTCCATACTAATTCCACTTACTCAATTTTACTTTTAATGTGGATGTCTATCAATTAATTATTACTGTCGCATTCATCCATTCTCTGATCTGCTTTGGTGAACCTTAAATATCTCAAGTGCATCGTACATTGTCAATTAGCAACTCTAGAATCACCACTAACGGCAACATAAGACTGAATTTTGCATCTCTTAAAAACCAATCATAACGTTATTCAACAATACAATAGTTTTATTTAAGTCGCTGATTATTCTGATCGTTCCGTTCCTCATTAATGTACTCTCTTGTACGTCGGGAATGCTGCCGAGAGATCATCTCGACATTCTATCTTCTGACGTTGATCCCGATGATGATAGTAACGTTCCTCATTCTCATCGTATTACTGCTAATTCCCTTTTATCTTCCCAAAATTTGCTCAACGCCTCAAAACAGAACGAACAAAACAATTTTTTCAATTATTGCTCGTTCGATGCGGATATTCCTTCTACGAGCAATGCTAACGTCACTTCGGCCGTTCCTAATAGTACCAACACCTCTACTTCTGCTCTTACTCAAACAATTTCTTCGGTCCCTGCAGGTTATCGCAACAATTCCCCTTACGAAGCTAATGCAGATGTTCACGCTGCCACTACTTCGAATAGCAATCAGTTGGTTGGCAGCCAACAATATAATGAAACTGTGCCTTGTGCTAGTGGTAAAAATGATGTTACCAATAGCTTCGATGTGGATATTTATGATAAGAACAACGATAAGAGAACAGTTACTAATGCTCGAATGGGTTCATCACCAAGATATTCCTCTGGAAAGAGTGGATTGCTCGCAACAGCTTTGCGAGAAGCTAAAATTACCACAGCAACAGCACAACGACTTGACTCTTCTCCCAGGTATTCCTCTGGTATGAGTGGCCTTTTAGCGACAAGTTTACGAGATAATGATCCGTTAACAACGGCAGCTACCACCATGACACCAGAATTCCATCTAAGACGAGATTCATCACCGAGATATTCATATGGAAGAACAGGTTTATTGGCAACAGCACTGCGAGAAGATACTTATATGCCAGTGACAGAAGCAATACCAACAACGGCTACGGTGACTGAACGTTACAACCGGCTAGATTCCTCTCCAAGATATTCATCTGGAAGGACGGGCTTTTTCGCAACAGCTTTGCGAGAAGAGGTTGCAACTGCAGTCATTCAAGCAGCAAATAGTCGTAATCGATTGGATTCATCTCCGAGATATTCTTCCGGTAGCACAGATTTTTTCGCGACAGAATTACGAGGAACTGGCTCGCCACCAATTATGACTACATCGCCGAGGCATTCATCTGGAAGAAATGAATTATTTGCAAGCACATTGCAAGAGCCTGCTTTGAAATCAACGACCGCACCGACTGCCGTAACGAGCGATGTTGGAAGTCGATTAAATTCACCGTCACGACATTCATCTGGAAAAACGGGTCTATTAGCAACAGCGTTACGAGAACATACTCCATCACTGATGGTTGCAAAACCAGTCACAACGACGGCAGACGTTAACACATCCCTGCATTCGTCGCCAATATATTCGTCTTCAAATTCAGCCCCCCTTGCAACAACCTTTCGGGAAATTGATTCAACGTCAATGACACCAAATGTGATTGCTCTGACGACGAATGCACCTTCTTTACCTAAACGAACATCGATATTGGATTCGTCAAAACCAAATCAACCGAATGGTATTCTGCCAAATGCTATTAAACGTTCTCTAGAGAACACTGATGATGAGTTATCACAAAACCAGCAGCAACAACACTTGCCACCAAGATTCGTTGGTGCTGTATGGCGTGGACACGTGGAAAACCCATTAGGCGAAGACTTGCAGCCTACCATTTCATTACCACAGCCGCATCAACGCATATTGTTTGGTGATGTCCAAAATACGGAAGCGTTACTCTCGCATGGTGACCGTATGGGTAGTAACAGTACGCGATTGAACGAACGTCATGAAACTGCAAATGATTTTGCAGCGTACGACGACGATCACTTTCATGCTTCCACCTTAGCATCTATTGGAGATACCGAGAAGGATATTACTTTTACTGACGCTTTAACTGCAAGTATTAACATGCAGCCCTCACCTAGACGCACTAAGGTCGATCGACTCGTAGTGCATGACGATGAAACTGATAGTGATAACGATAATATCAAGAGCGACAGTGATAACCAGTTAAAATTTTCACATAGAATGCCTTCATCTGATTTTGAGCAGAGAAGAAGACCGAGCGAAAGAGGTCCCTCGAAATCACCACCTACAATATCATCATATTCGAACAAGCGAAACGAAAGGCTCAGAGTAGTTGGGACACCAACTGATCTGACACAACAACCGAAACAAAGATTGAGACGGAAACGAATTGCAGAAATGGATGAAGCGAGAGGAGATCATTCGCAAGATGAACGGCATCACATGCAAGGGCATTTACAACATCAGCTCCTGCCATCAACATCAGCCTCGCTCCATCGGTCGTCGCCTTCTCCAGCACTCGCCTCTCAGGCACATACCTCTAGACGTTCAGTGGCATTGGGACGATCCCCAACTACATCTAGAACTACGACAACACTCACTATTCCTGATGCGAATCAACAACTATCAACAGTAACGGATGGTCATATCAGCAGTCGTAGTTCGCGAAGCCCATCATCTAGGGCATCTACGAAAGCAACATCGCGAAATGAAAAGCGACTCGAGGAAAGGGAAAAACATGAACTGCAAGAAAATGATACACGACGACATCATTATGAAGGTCCCAAAGCACCGCCATCAACGTCTAATTTGATCACTGAAGCAGGTAAAATGCCGATCTCTAGCGAGATGTACTCCATTTCATCTAGAACTGCTACTCCGAAACGCTCATTGGCTGCTGAGACTGAGGACCCCAAAAGACCAAAGACAAGGGAACCAATAACTCGAAGAAATCCTTTGCGAAACGCTCCAATAGATACAAAATCTATAGTAATTGGTACAAAAACACCGGAAATTGACCCTAAAAAACCCTACCCATCGTACCATAAACCTTCACCAGTCACAAGGCCTGTTTCGAAGGCTAATAGTGGTGCTGCCGTGGGTGCTGATAAGAAATTGAAAGGAAAACAGGCGACGATTGCGACTGTGAGCAGTAGTGATACAGAATCAGTGCAAAGTGGAAGAGATAGTTGTTGGCGAGGTAGAGGGACATCAAGGTCACAAACCCAACAAAGACGACCACAACAACACTTGACGCCGAGCGGTCGACGTTCTCGAGACATAGTCTCTTCTGGCTTGAGGTTACCGCATCTGAAGCCAGTAATTATTGATGTTAACACTGATGATATGAGCACCAGTCCATCGCCTTCTCGAAGTCGTACACCATCGCAGACACGCTCACATCAACTATCATCAGCGCGTGACCACCACCATAAAGACGATCAAGTTTCCATCACATCTGGTAGAATGCCTTCAACTTCTACGATTCCTCCAAAATCTAGTAGGCTTTCAACAAAATCGAAACAAGCAAAACAGTCTGCTGAGAATGAGGCAGTTCTATCTGGCAATGATAACAGAGACGTCAATCATTCGAACTCATCTCAGCCACATCAAATTGTTGGCAGTTCTGGAACATTATCGCAATATTTGTTACAAAATGCAGCTACTACTCTGGATCCATCTACCTCTCAGCATATGCGACAGAAACAACAACCACAATCTGAGACAGTCATTACTGTGACTGATCCAACTGCACGAATCTCTGCTCCATTTGGCCAGTCCACAGAATTACCCATATCAGCACCAGCTTTCCCAAATTCTCAGCAGCCTTTAGTCCCAGTAAAGTTAACAATCGTAAGAGACGATGTAAAAGATGTCAGGACTGAATCGTACAAAGATACCGATCAAAACGAAATAAAGCAAGTGAAAACCAGTGATCAAACTGCTCAGCATCTTAAAGATTCAATTGATGGACATATAATCGCACATCATATTCCTGATGAGAAAACTGTTGAGAAACGTTCACTTCGTGACAGTGAAGGTGTGCCAAATTTGGGTCTAACACCAGAATCAGAAAAGTCAAAAGTATCTCTTCCAAAGAAGCAACAACCTACTCAACGAATCACTGAAAGACCTCAAGAATTCCGTCTTGATATAGAATCTGATACAGATGGTATCACGGATCGAATTTTTGCATCAAAATCAACCCTTGCTAAGGACGTTACTGTCAGAGAAGAGATGGAATTGGCGACACTAAATTCAGAAGTGAGTAGATCCACTGAAGTAGGTCGAGCAAGAGGACGTGAAAGTAGAAAAGGCGGAAAGGAAGTTGCGTTAGTCAATATCAGCGACGATATTACTGATGCATCGGCGTCTGATATTAATGCTGCTGATCACACAGTAGCTGTTTCAAATATGGGTGCTACGCCGAATCCTGATGCTAATAAAAAAGCAACTATAAGTGGAACATCTTCAGAAAAGTCGCTCCCAGTTCAGAAGCTAGATTACGTTCAGGTTCAGCAACAACAACTCGTCAACTCTTCACCATCTAGACACTTTCAGTCACCTGAAGAGTATAGTGTAGGAATGATTGGGAAGTTACTCAAAATTGCTTCAAATACCAACACTGAAGGTGAATTATCGATACTTTTGGGCGATAAAGCATCTAAAACAGCTGAACCAGTGAAAGAAGATAATGAAATTGCATTAGGAATTCAGAATTCTGGAGTCGTTGGTAAAAAGATGACTAATAAAAGTGAACCAAAAAATGAAAAAAGAGCCAGCGTTCTTGCAAAATCATCTGATCAACCGAAGGCGATTGATCATTTGACGAAGAAAGATGTCAAAAAAGATGAGATTCGGATACCATCTTTGACGATATCAAATCCAAAAATGGAAGCTGACAGTCAGAATAGCCCGCTAATTGAGTCTCCAAGAAATGGGATTTTGGGTAAACTATTAGACTCTAGCAGAGGGGTAACTAGTCCAGTTTCTGATGGCAAAATTGAAAAAAATGAACCGTTGAACCTTCAAAGTTATGCATCCATGGAATCAGAAGGCGAGCCGGCTGACGCAGAAGATCGTCGGACATCTGTTGATTCAGTTACCGATCACAAACCGGAATCTTCGGTTAAGGTTGGTTTTGAGCTTTATTGTTATCCATTTCAATTTCTTTTATTTCGAAGAACGACTGAGGTCAAATCTGATGAACTCAACTGAATTATCATTAGTGTATTATCAGGAATCAGCTGAAATTCATTAAATTTTTCTTCACATCGTTGTTCCTTAACCACGATATTTCTGCATCTTCTACCTTTATCACTGAATGTTAGACTAAATGATTATCACTGAATGATAGGCTAAAGATACTCGTATTTATTATGATTATTGCTATGATCATGATTGTCCCCACCATCTCTTGTGTTATTGTAGTCACTATCTTCATTTATCAGTAATGTCAATTATTAAAAGAACAGTGGCTCTTAATACTATCCACCGCCATCATCTATGTAGACTACATAAGGATATATGTGGTGTATATACAAAAGTTACTACAAATGTGAATCTGAGAAAAATCTATCGAAATGACACGCAGTTTTATTTTTAAAGTGTGACTTTCTCACTGACGATGATAAAAGTGGTTGTTAGCATAGACATTATTCAGTAAAGTATTGATGTTTTTTTTTGGTTGCTGTTTGCTTTCCTGTCAAAGTCCAAAGGCATTTATAGGCGAATAAAAGACTGAGATAAGCTGAAAAGCATAGAATATGAATGTTGTCTCGAGAGTGTGTGCAGTTCGAGAATTATATAAATATACGAAAATGTTTTCGTACACTCAACGAACCAACATATCACCAATTCGAGACGTAATTATGTATCGATCCTAAATTTATGCTGATGACCAGAAGAATGGCCAGCAATGAAAGCGTCCCTCCATTAGGCACTGCAAAAAAGTTATGTGCACAATGCCGTAACATCTAAATGGCATGTAATTGAAATGAATGAATATGATATTGTGAGAATTAATGCTGAAACGTCTCAATGAATCAGTAAGATTTGATGCAATCAAGAAAGTGAATGCAAAAACTAGATATGTCCGAAATTCAGGCAAAAACATTGGAAAATCATTCACATGTTGAATCCTTGTCTCACTCCTGCTCTATATGGTTTTCATAGTAATTTATGATGTGATCAACTTGAAAGAGAACTTCTCTGCCAAAATGAAATTTTTTGAATTTTGTTCGATGCACAACAGTTTGTGAATAGACGTGATTGAAGAGTACTTCTATTGAATGTAGTTTAATTTGGAGTTGAACTGAATATCGTTTAATAAATTCATATATCTATAAGATATTCAGCAGAGAATCCCAGCTAACTCATCCCTATTAACCTATTTGCAGTCATTTGTTCTCATCGTACCAGATCAAAGGTTGAAATGAGATTAAATGTATTTGTAATGTCTGTGAGAGTTAACAGTGTTGATAATCAAATATTGACGATTACTTCGAAAGAAACTGGTATCAATAGTGACGACGATAGCTATAAAGATGAGAAAATGATAATGGTCATGACAATAATGATGATCACAATCACGTTTTGGCAGAGTTTTCAGTGTACTTGACAGAGTCACATTTGTGAGAATTTTTGCTAAATTTACTCTTCACAATCTTTTCAATTTCAAATTTGCTTCAGTAAATTGTTACGATTATAAGGAATTTCACTTTAAGCTACTGGATTTGGCTAAGAGTGGCGATTGGACCGCTGTGGAGGAAATGTTGAGTAATGATGAAAGAATTGATCTGTCGATTACGGATCGGGTTTGTTATGCCTAGTTCATTCGATGTACATGATGAGAACTTATACGAATATGAGCAACTGTGGATATGTCAATTAATTTAGTGGATATTTTGGTAATAAACAATGGTGAAAAAATACCAGAGCCTTAAGAATACTCACCTTTATTCACTCAAATCACATCGCTATCAAATGCAGAAGTAAACGCTAACAAATCAATCAGCATCCTATCCATCTAATTTGTGCTGTACTTCAGCATGGTTTCAATGTCTTATTATTCGCTGTCAAAGACTCCAAGGTAGCAATATTCTCAAAATTGTTGTCAATGGGCGCTGACCTCTATTCAACAACAAATGTTAATCAGTTTTACTCATTTTCATGTTCGAAGTTTCCTTTATTTACTCAAGTTTGAAGTTTCCATTGTATCAACTGCGAATCATTAATGAGATATTCAAACAATCATTGTTTTTATTAGTAATATTAATGTTATCATTATCACTATTACTATTGATATTATTATTCACTGTTATTATTTATTATTATTGCTACTGTTGTTATTATTATTATTGTCATAATGATCAACGTTATTATTACTTTTATTATACTCCACAAAAACAATAACTATCGAAAATCAATAATCATCATTTCCAGGACCGTCGTTCGATTGCGCATATAGCAGCGATGTACAGTAATGAAGAGATGGTAGAGTGTATCTTGTCGAAAGGAGTTGATTTGAGTCGAACTGCTGGGGTATGAGCTGATTGATCATCTTTTCTGACCTGATCTGATCTGCATCCAAAGTCAAACTCAATTCTGAAACTATTGAAAATCAAATCTCGTTTTCTTTCCACCACGGAGCAAACCCTTCATCTATGTTAATGATGAATGATGAATATCTCTGTAACGATATTAATCCTGTAAATTTCTAAACGCTGTCGTCTATCTTGGTAGCTCATCGTTCTGACAAGCCAGCTAATGTTTTCTTTCGCTGTGTCAACATCTGTGAATGTATGTCCTTTCTGGACACGCATTTAACTGATCATCTCAAATACGATTGATAGCATTTGAATGCACACACCACAATAACAATACCACTACGCAATCATAATAAACCGAACAATATGAGTAGTCAACTTTGTCCGATATGTCTTCCTTGGTTGACATTCGTTTGACAGGCTCATCATTAAGACTACAATGAGAATAAGTAGTAACCGTAAGAAGAGCTACAAAAGATAATAAAAAGTGAAAATTTGCAGCCGCATTCGCAATTACCTTTGCATTATGCATGTTGTCGAAGTTCACCACGTGGCTATCGTGTCGCATGTTTATTGCTGAATGCACGTGATGAGCGATTGTACGAGGATCGTGAGAAATGTCTACCAATTAATTATGCGATACTTTACAACAACATTCCTCTCATCAAGAAGCTGCTGGAACGCAACACTCAACAGCAAATCAAACACGTTCGTTAACAAGCCTAGTGTCAGTTCGGATGTTATTATCTGGAGTGCTATGCGGATAAACACTGAAATGATTTAGGTAGACGGCAATGGTGATACTTTATTACATTTGGCCTGTCGTAAAAGCGAGGATGAGATCGTGCAATTGATCGTTGACCGTGGCGGATTCGACGTGAATCAAACAAATGCAATGGGATGGACTGCACTGCATGAAGTGGCGTGTAATGGCGACGAAAAAGCTTTGAAGATTATGATCAAATTGCAGGCTGATGCGAACATCCATGACCAGGTATCCATGACTTCAGTCCATTTCATCTCAACAATTTATTTAAAAAATCTTATTGCCAGCCTTCCAAGAGGTGCTCTGTTACTGTTAAAATCAGGCTATTTATTTATGACTGATTATTTGCGATTAATCTCGTGAATGTGTTTCGCAGTACTGCTCACTATGCATTGCTGTCGTCATATTGCAGGAGGACCGAACTCCACTGCATGTGGCCGCCGAGCGTGGTCATACTCAAGTGGCGGAGATGTTGATTGATAAGTTCGGTGGTTCGATTGGTGCAAGGACTCGTGATGGCAGCACTTTGCTGCATATTGCAGCTCTTTACGGACATGCCGACACCGCACTCGCCTTCCTCAAACGGGGTGTACCACTCTACATGCCCAATAAACGCGGTGATTTTGGCACTACATTCGTTCGAATGTCATTAGTACTAATCTAAGCAAAGGTGTAGCCAAGTGGCGTCACAGAGGTGTGCACCGTCCAACTCTTGGATGGTGGAGGAATTGAGGGGGTACTCGTGGCTTTTACTCAACAGTATCGGTCTGCTAATCGCTACTTACAAATCTTCCTTCAAAATATGCAATCGCGCTGTTGATTTGTCGGGAAAAAAAGCCTCCCTATACCACTGAATAGTCGGAGATTTTTATTTAAACATTCAACAACAAAAAATCTTTCCAACAGTAAACAGCAACCAGTGATAAAAACAAAGTTCAATAAGAGGAAAATAACTAAGTGATAATAACAAAATTCAAAGATAGAAGACAATCAACTGGCAGCAGCTCACACTGCACATTTTGATCCTCCTTCAAGACGATCAACACACTGAGCATTCAGTTTGAAAGTTTGGATCGTTTGACTCACCTCCTAGCGAGAGCAGCAAAATGGAAGAAAACTTCCGCACACTGTCACGTAACTTATCTGAAGTCATATGACTCAATGAGCTCGGACAGAATGCTTGTGGTGGTGCACTTATAACGTGTATTTGAGATACGATTGAGTATTGAATTTCAAGCCGTTAGAAGAATACGAACACGATAAGCGCGAATTTAGCACTTGGTGTCGTTGCTAGAGTGTAAATATATTTTGAATATCTGGATGTTGAGGAATGAGCGTTCCGTTGTAGAAGAAAAGTTGTGAGTTAGCCGAAGTCTAACAACAACCAGTATCTCGCTGGAACTCTAACGAAAAGAATTGGCAAGAGATATCGTTTTCTGTGCGGCCTGAAAATTATTGAAACGGAAGCTTTTGCCGTAAATCTCATATTAAAAAAAGCGAGCTATCGCAACGATGAAAAAAGTAGATCCGTTAATAGCGATCAGCGCATTGTTGCCCATCACTGAAAGCATGTTGTTGTCGTACGTCGAGTGCATTTGCGATCACTTCAGGTGCGGTAGGATTGCACTCCGCAGCAGCGGCCGGTTTTACAGATGTGGTACGTATGCTCATTCTTCGGGGCACCAATGTGGACATACGGACCAGGGTTCGTCTTCATTTCGCTTTTTGCATTGATTCCATTTTTGTTTTCTCATGGTATCATTCTCTACGTCAGCCTACTTGAAACGGTAATGATAATAGTAATAATAATAAAAGTTCACAAAGCCTTTATATTGATCCATTATGGATATGAAAGCATCATCGATAAAGTGCATTTCGATTTGTGTATGCACTTGGCCAGAGGCGTCGTATGCGATGAGGTAGAAATGGTTCATTATGGCGAGTGATCACAACGTTTTTTCGGAACATAACAATAGTTGAACTAGATCGACTGCCGAAAAGTCGACGGGTCGTAAAGTTGATTGTGATAGAGTTGATCAGCCAAAACGTCGGTCGGCCAAAGCATCGGCTGGTCAAATTTGTTCATTGAAATAGATACAGACCATAGAAATACCAATAGTTCTAACTGGGACGATCGCTCATTTTAGTGAAGATCGCTTGTATTGGTCGTAAACATTAGAACACGGGTGTAATACGGAAAAGTTTATTTATTTATTCACACAACACTAAGAAAAGTAGCAAATTGAACTCTACTTTTTGACGTACAAAGCGTTCGTCACGAGCAAACAACCGAGTACATGACGTTCAATAGCCGCACTTCTGCAAGTAGTGTATTTGTTGACCTCAAATGAGCATAAGCCTCAACCTTGATTAAGCATTATTCTAAGCTCGAGGTTCCTCAGTGTAATCCAAAGCCTACTCACAATATGTTCTTAAATGCTCGGTTTTGTGTCTGAAAACAGTATACATCAAACTGAACATTGCTGCATCTTCCGAAAGAGTGCCAAAAGAGTTTTGCAAAAGAAAAATATAAAAATTTAAAGAATCACCAATGATAAATACGTTTTGAAGTTTGAGTCGGTTCGCGTTTTGACTGGTCAAACTTTCAACAGTCGACATCACGACTAAGCCCCGTTCAAAATATCATCCATCAGCCAGGCCCTTACAATTAGGTAATTCTAATGATATTTGGCTGGGAGATGATAGTTGAAGTCGGATGCTTCATATTCAGGAAATGAAAGTGATATGGTTTGTTATTGAAGGATAACTATACCGCACTACACGTTGCGGTACAATCGGGTCGTGCATCCGTAGTAGAGACGTTGCTCGGATTCGGAGCAGATGTGCATCTGGAAGGTGGTCGATTGGGCGAGACTGCGTTACACATTGCTGCATCGTTAACCACCGAGGATGCGACTCAATGTGCGATCATGCTATTGAAGAGTGGTGCCCAGCCGAACGTGACCACAAAGGATGGTGAAACGCCACTGCATATCGCATCCAGAAACCCGTTACCGTCAATGATACGATTGCTGCTAAGTGAAGGTGCTGACCCGAAACTCACCTCTTTGGTTTGTTCTTTGTTTAGTTGTTAATTAATTACTTCTATATTCATCCGAATTGTTTGTTCGTCATTCATTATTCGTTACTGTAATTACATCATTCAAATCTTTATCATCTTCAACTCAAGCAACCACACTGACAAATACAATGTTTTGTGAGCAGATTTAAGCATTATATTCACGAACAAGGAATCGTTAAAGTATAAGTTTGCATGTTATGCTCGCACACTTGCGATTTTCTTTCAGCTCCATGCGTTGCTCGCATGTATGTTAGGAGAAATATATAATGAAGAAAGTTACTAACGATAAGTAAAAAAATGCACTCCATAATATAATCTAGAATCAAATACGTTCGTGTGTTCTATGAAAAAAAAGAGATCTCATGTAATTCTATTCAAATAACCTCGTACAATTCTAGGCATGATTTTGATCGATGCGGAAGTAATCATAATTGTTATTATTATCAATATTTAACGGATATCAGCCCTAATAATACGATTGACTGTCATGAGCAGTGGTTATTTACAGAAGGGAGAAAGTGCGTTGCATGTTGCATCACGATGCTGTAACAGTGAAGCAGTACGTCTTATGTTGGAACATCTTCAGAAATCATCATCGCTTTCTGAGATAAAAAAATTCGTTAATGCAACTACTTTTGAGGTTGTCTTCCATAATCTACTCGCTAAATTATTCACTCTGCCGTTCACCTACATTTATCATTTCTTAATTTTCCACTGATCATTAATTATCGTCATTGTTAATATTAGTGTTGTTGTTGTTACTGTCATTGTTATCATTGGTATGTCATGGTAGTCATTTAAGGAGGGTTTAACAGCCGTTCATTATGCAGCTGAAATCACACACGATCAATTGCATTCAGAGGGTGAGGATGGAAAACTGATCAATACGTTGATCGAATATGGCGGTCAACCTGAAATTCAGACCATTTCGGTTGGTACTTCAATATTCTTGTTCAGAGCATAGGATCTGGATTGAATTATTTGGTTATTATTAGTAACACTGGAACTAATAATTTGTGTGTGGACAATTTTGTGAGATATGCAATTGATAGCGTTGAATATGTGAGGTTGTTCAACTTACTGATATTCAACTGTTGTTGCTTCGTCAATGTTATTTTTATGATTATTACTATCATTACGAATACGATTATTGTCTTTGTCAAGAGACTGCACTAAATGTTCTTGTAATTCGCGAAATAATGTACACATTTACAAAGCGTTTTAATTGCAGAATCTAGAAACAGCAATGCATTTAGCAGCACGATCAGGAAATGAAACAGTATTATTGGCGATGGTCGCGAAACTTGGTCCTGGTGCTGTACAAATAGTACAAAATAAACAATCGAAGGTGATTTCGTTCTTTCACGCGGATTCGATCTGATACATATAGAGTCGATTCGATGCGTTTCGATTCCATTCAAATATATTTCACTTGATCTTATTCCATGACCAGTAATTACAATGCATTGATGATTGACTAATAAGTTGACCAGTAGTAGAATTATGATAGTGATCGATAAGAGCAATTTGGCTCATAAGCATACCATATCTAACAGACTGTCATCTGGCTGACATAACTAGCGATCGCAGCATTTCCAGTACGATTCTAAACATGCTGATGATGCGAATAATTTGCGGAAACGCAACTGGTTAATAACAATAAGGAATTAGATCTTTGATCTGTTCTCATCCCATTATTTAATGGAGCGAAGCAATCAGTGACCGAGTTTGTCGAACAATTTTAATATGACAGAGTGGTTGGTCGCCGTTACTGGAGGCGTGTGCCCGAGGTCATTTGGGAGTGGCTAGGATTCTGCTGAAACATCACGCGAGAGTGGATGTATTCGATGAAAATGGTCAAACTGCGCTGCATTTAGCTGCCGCAAATGGACATGTGCATTTAACACATTTACTGTTACAACATAAATCTTTTGTGAATAGGTTCGCTGTTTCATTTTCACTTTTGTTTAATTTTTGAATGTTTTTAAGAGATCGTAAAGTTAAGAAAAAGATGATTTTTCATTCGAATTCGAAAGACTTGTTCAATTTGAAAGATTCATTTGAAAGTTAGAGAAGATGATTTTATTGTAGTAAATCGAAAGCTGGTGAAGCACCGTTGCATCTGGCCGCACAAAATGGTCATGTAAAAGTGGTGAATATATTAGTGCAAGATTACGGTGCATCGTTGGAGGCGATCACGTTGGACAATCAAACGGCACTACATTTCGCTGCGAAACACGGTCAACTTGCTGCTTCACAAACGTTATTGGCACTCGGTGCAAATCCGAATGCGAGAGATGATAAAGGCCAGACGCCTTTGCATCTGGCTGCCGAGGTTCGTTTCCCGTTCACAGTTCACTCACTCAGTTTCTGACAAGCAACACAATTTCAGAACGATTTCCCCGACGTTGTGAAGCTGTTTTTGAAAATGAAACAGAACAATCGCGGTGTACTGACAGCCGTTGACTTCAATGGATTCACATGTGCACATATCGCTGCCGTGAAGGGATCGTTGGCTGTAGTGAAAGAATTGATGATGATCGATAAAGCAATGGTTATACAGGTTCGACGACTACTTCACATTTCAGTGCTCATTTCTATCATTATCCTCTGATTATTTGTTTATCATTCTTTTTGTGTTTTGATAATCAGTCTGAGTAATTATTCAATGCGTTACGATTTGAGAAATTGTAAACATTTATACGTTTATGCAATTCATCACTGTCATTTTCCACTAGATACGTTCATAATATCAATAGATCGTTGATGGAAGTCTTTAAGGCAAAAACGAAAACAATGGAAGCAACAGCGTTGCATATGGCAGCAACTGGAGGACATGAAAAAATTGTGAAAATTTTACTGGAAAATGGAGCGAATGCAGAGGATGAAAATGCGGTTAGCCGTTGTTTTAAAATCAATGACACAAATGTTCACTTATCAAAATTTCAAATTGTCTGGAAAATTCGATATTTCTAGGTATAGGAATTTTTAACGATATTGTCTCATAAGGTCGTCACGTTAGTAACTTAGATTCAGATGAGCTCCAATTGAGGTTTAGCCTCTGGATTGGATCCACGCGCTTCCTGTGAGTACATTTAATATGTGCTCTTGTTGGACTGTAAAAATAATAACTAGAATGATAAAAATGCAATATTAAAAGCAAAAATAACGAACGAATATAAAGAATATATTTTTCTTTATAATTCCTCCCTATGCAAGCAGTTTTACTCAGCCGATCACTTAACTTTGCTCATGCCGCTAATTGAGCGAGCGATTTCTAGTTGGAGAGAAATCTAGACGCGCAATGAATGAAGTGCACAATTGCACTCATTGTCAGCCAAATAAACTCATACAGACAGAGGGAGCACGGATCAAGCTTCAGTCTTAAAATATTGTTTGCCAGTGTGACCAGAATGCCGCAAAATTATTTATGAAAGTGGTAGCTGAATGTTTCGTCGAAGGCGATTCGTGCTTTTTCTGACTTTTAACATCATTGATTTGAATCGCATCTGAAGAGTGAGTACTTATTTTCAGCATGGTATGACTGCGCTGCATCTGGGAGCAAAGAATGGTTTCATCTCAATTCTGGACGTTTTTGAGAAAAGTTTATGGAAGAGGTGCTCGAGGAAGGTACTGTTGCGTTTATTCTAATTCAAGGAAAATGTGCCTTTCAGGCTTCCGAGTTGCTTTTGGTGACTGTTTGAGTGGCAAGTGAATTATTTGAATCGAAGAAATAATCAACGATTAGCAGCAGTGATATTAATTCATTAGAAATTGTAATTCATTCGTGAATCTGTTTCGTTTTGAGGCTTTCAGAATATATACGGCGAAATATCTATGAAAGAATATTTCCTTTTGAAAACTATTCGTATACTTTCAGACGGGCTTGAATGCATTGCATATAGCGGCATATTATGGAAATACGGAATTCGTGCTTGAAATGTTGAAGCACATACCTGCAAATTCAAGATCAGAACCACCGATTTACAATCATCATGTCATGAAAGAATTTGCTACTGAGGTTTTTTTCAAATGAAATGTCTTCATTTCATTCTCATGCAGTGAAAGTTTAGTTGATTATTGAAGAATGCGAAATTTTTCCCACAATAATAAGAGCCTTGATAAAGATGATATAAAAAATAATGCTCTAGCAATAATGAACCTAATGGAAAACCAAATGAATATCTGTAGCAATAATGATGGTGAAGATAATAGGGATGATTTTGATTTTGATACTAAACGTTCAGTATGGATTAACACCGTTACATTTGGCTGCTCAATCTGGTCATGATTCGTTGGTGAGAATGTTATTGAATCAAGGGGTTCAAGTTGATGCCACCTCAACAACTATGGTTAGTTCTTTCTTGACAATAGAATTATTGAGCATTCATGAGTCATTTTCATGAGTTTCTTCTCATCTGACATATCGCCTACAAGTGATAGAGGACTCAAAGAGAAGAAGAATGACTGCGACTGGGTTGACTGAAGGGGAATAGCGATTTGCATTGCGGCCGAAAAGGGCTGCAAAATCATTGTTCTGTCGTCATATTAGTCGCTGATTGGTGACAATACGATATTATTGTGTGAGATTTCATATCGGAAATTTTCCAACTGATTCATGAAATTACGATGACTCAAAAGAACGCATCAAACCAAAGTGACAATACGATATGAGTTGACAAGGAAAAAATGCTATTTCAGAGTATAATTCCATTGCATTTGGCTGCTCAGCAAGGTCACATAGCTGTGGTTGGTATACTCTTGTCGAGATCAACTCAACAGCAACACGCAAAGGATTGGAGAGGGAGGACACCGTTGCATCTAGCTGCCATGAATGGTCACTATGAGATGGTATCGTTACTTATCGCACAGGGATCAAATATCAATGTTATGGACCAAGTACTCTTGTTATCATTCATTATCATCAGTAATTTATTCTTATTAATAAAAATAATATTATTATCATCATCTGTTGTATAACAAGTCATGAGTGAGTTAATTTTCCAGAACGGTTGGACAGGGATGCATTATGCCACAAGGGCAGGTCACATAAATGTGGTAAAGTTGTTCGTCGAGAGTTCCGCGGATGCACAAGCTGAAACGAAAGAGGGAAAAGTCAGTTGAACTGTCATTTTTGTGATTCATTGTCACAGTGTGACGATCAGTTGAGCTTATTTGAATCTTAATCGCTATTAAAATACAGCATTTGAACTCTTTATTCACATCGAATTAGAATAATGGTTCCATTTCGATCATTTCAATTCTTGCACAGCATATTTCTTGCCCAGTCAGCACTTGACATGACTAGTTCAAAGTGAAACATTTCACGCTCAAACAATTGCTTTTGCTCATGTCAGTGTTGTGTTGCGCAGTGCACTCAGGAATATCACTCAGCTGAAAGTAAACTATTTTTCTCCTATATTCGCCACTATCATCCTTATGTACATTTATGTACAAACTTACTTCAAATACATTCATCTTAGATACCGTTGTGCTTTGCGGCAGCACATAATCACTTGGACTGCTTACGGTTTCTACTGAAACAAAAACACGATACGCATGTGTTGATGGACGACAGGAAGGTGAATGAACATTTTCAACTGAATTCAAATATTGCTAACTGATAAATGCATTCATTCTTCTAAGAAAACATTTGTGAAAAATATCAGTGGTAGTTTTTCACATAAAAACAATGGCATTTTAAGTTCATCTTCGATTTGATGGTTTGTGGTAAAGGCACCGATAATGAACCGCTCAAAGAGTTCATTCTACAAAGTCCTGCACCGATCGACACGGCCGTAAAACTGTCATCACTTTATCGCGATATGAGCGAAAAAGAAAAGGTTCTGCGATTTATCGATACACCCTAAAGCCTTCGTTTTCAACTACCAATCATTCGCACTTCTCAATAGTTTGCTGGGCAAGCATTCAGCCCTTATTCGATTAGCTTGAATTGAGATTAATGCATTTGAAGGAACGTGCTAAAGATCTATCAAATGCATCGACATATGCAGAAGATATGGCCGTTGAACTGCTAAGCATAACTGCTAGTGAATACAACGCTGCGATATTGTTGAAAGCAAAAGATAATCGTGGACGGCCGTTACTTGATGTTTTGATCGAGAATGAGCAGGTTACCTCTATTACCTTTTATTATATCATATTCATCAACACCGATTAAAGTCAAACTACCTATCCAATTGCCACGAAGAGCAGCAGTTTATGCAACTGATACTTCCATTTGCTAACAACTAACTGTAAGGTGCGATTGCCCTTAATATCAATAATCAATATGTATTCTTAATGATCTGTCGAGCGTTTTAAACTTGTTCACTGAATTTGATGCATCAGTATTTGGCACATTGAAAAAGAATGTGAAGCTGATAATTGTGTAAAAAGGATACGTTCCAGAAAGAAGTGGTATCATATGCGTCGGTTCAGCGATACCTAACCGAGATATGGGTTGGTCGTATTGACTGGTCATTCGGTCGTACAGTGGCATTTGCTCTTGTTGTTTTTTTGTGCCCTCCAGCATGGTTCTACTTTTCGTTACCGTTGGATTCACGCATGGGAAGGGCACCGATCATCAAGTTTGTCTGTCATATCGGTTTGTTATAACCCACGCATACTCATTTTCAGTATCATAATACTGAACTGTTCATTATTAAACTACATTATTATATAGAACGCAAACAACATTATTTACAATATTCGATTGCCTTCATTGTTTATTGTCTCAACTCTTTCCTAAAATATTTGTCCTTCGAACGCTTCCGTTTGTTTCGTTTGCAGCATTCATTTACACCCCACCGAATTTTAGTTAATTTCAATGAAATTTCAGTCTCGCATGTTTATTTCACGATGCTGCTAACGGTTGTCGTGTTGAATTTAACGCATAAAATCTATGAAGTTACGAGTGTCATTCCAAATCCGGTTGAATGCGTTCTTCTGTTATGGCTTTCTGGTAATCTTGTTTCGGAACTGTCGAATGTGGGTGGTGGTTCTGGACTTGGTATTGTTAAGGTGTGTGCCTTCCTTGCCTCATTCCCTTTTTTTCATTCACTCCTAATACTCTCGCTCTCATCACGCAGAATTTGTTATCCTTCCGTTTCATCCTTATGGAATATCCTTTCGATCGCGTCACCAGTTGATTATCATTGTCCCAGAATTTGAGTAAAATAATTGTAACGATGTCAGTGTTAGTAATGGGAGGAAAAGCGCTATTCATCAGATAAATAGTTTCTTACAGGGATTTGTTCACATCAAATGAGCTTAATATTGTTTTGAGATAATAATTCTTGTAAAATGATCAATGGCATAAATCAACACAACGCGTTAATGTCAATGATGAAAATGCAATTAAAAATGGTGGAAGAATAAATTAAACGAAGGAAACGCTTTCAGGTTTTGATACTGATATTGAGTGCAGCTGCCATTGCGATGCACATATTGGCGTTTGCGATACCAGCGTTATTCTTACAGCATCTGGATAACGACGAGAAACTTCATTTTGCGAGAACGATGCTGTATTTGAAGAATCAATTGTTTGCATTCGCATTGTTGTTTGCATTCGTGGAATTTTTGGACTTTCTAACGGTGCACCACTTATTTGGACCATGGGCCATTATTATTCGCGATTTAATGTACGATCTCACAAGGTGCGCCTTTTTTTGATTGCGTTTTCTTTTCGTTTCATTCACTCTCTTCTTTGCAATTGAGCAATCAGCTAACGTAAACGTGAGAAACAGTTTGTATTTTTATTAAATGCATACGTATTTTTTTGGTAAATTTTTGTTTGATTTCGTTCCATTTTCTAGCGAATTTGTTGCGTCCTCCTATTTTTTTGGCCATTTTATCTGTTCGGTTCTGTTCTCGACTTTTCGATTTTTATGTTGTTCTGGCTTGTACTCAAGGTGAAAACGTTTTTGCTAATACGCTCCAAGCAAAGAACGATTGTTTTACCGTGTACTAACGCTATCTGTTGTAATCAGTTACGTTGTCGCATTTTCAAATCATCCAGTTGCTCTATTCCTCGTTTATTCATACCACTTGAACTCTTCATGAGCCTTGCCTTATCACCAATATGAAAGTGAACCATTCATTCATGCTTCCTGCATGCCGTTAACATAAAAATAGCATCAGTTTCGTTTCGGCTGACAGCCCAGTGGCTATAAATGTCTATCGGATACTCTCCTTCCATCCAATGGTCACCAAGTTGTTTCGATTGTATCCACCAAAATAAGCGCTTGTTAGCACTATTCCGTCTCTGTTCTTTCCCTTGCATACCATATGCCCACACAACATTTGCGTATATATTTCTGATTGCAATTCTTCGTCAACTCATTCTCATTTGAACATTTAATTTTCGAGCGAATTTGTCTCTTCAATTCTGTTGAATCTATTGACATAATAATTGATATCTAACCAAAGTTGAGTGGAGCTAATACTGGAAGAATAATTTCTGAATGGTGATTTCAGGTTTCTAGTGATCTTACTTCTCTTCATTGCCGGATTCACTCTTCACGTCACTTCGATATTCCAGGTTTTTCTAGAAATTTGTTTTGTTCAGTTAGTGTTTTTGTTCGCAATTTATCAACCAACTGTACACGTCTCCTCTATGATAAATCTCCATCCTTGATGAGCTTTTGAATACTTGGCGATTTTTTACGGTCAATGACGAGTACTCGCACACTTTTCGTAAGCGAGTATCTAATATATGGAAGTGATAATAGATATATTCATAAGTCTTATTAAGAATATTCATTAAGAAAGATTCGTTCATTTTTTCATATATTCACTTTTTCAGCCGGCCTATCAGCCAGTGGATGATGACAGTGCAGATTTGATGCGTTTAGCATCACCCGAACAGACTCTCGAGATGTTATTCTTCTCGTTATTCGGTTTGGTTGAGCCAGACACGATGCCACCACTTCATTTGGTGCCAGATTTCGCGAAGATTATACTGAAATTATTGTTTGGCATCTATCTTTTGGTCACCCTCATTGTGCGTTATCAGCATTCATTTGTCATGGATTGTTTCTTGTTCTATCAATTATCAATCGCTTCTAACTTCAAGTCATCGTATCTGATACATAACGGATCGATTAATTGAGAGAACATTAAGGTGTTAATAAATCTGTTGATCGCTATGATGTCCGATACGTATCAACGCATTCAAGCGCAATCCGATAAGGAATGGAAATTCGGACGAGCCATTTTGATCAGACAAATGAACAAACGCTCGGCTACACCAGCGCCAATCAATATGTTAACGAAACTGATGGCTGTTCTACGAGTCGCTTATCGAAATAAACGTGCGTTATTCCCTTGAAATGCCAATCTTTGAACAATAGATCTAACTTTGTGAAGTCGTATCGCCCTTTAATAAAATCCCAACTGTGAATAAACTTTCGCTTGTAACAATTTATGCAAATAATATCTTGTCATGACCTCGCTCAAAGAAATGCAATATTTTTTGATTTGTTGTGTTCATTATTTGTTCAATGCCACTATCAGTTTCGTTCTAAGATGCATGTTTTTGTACAGTAGCCAACTGCTTGATCATTCACTTAACCGAATGTGTTGTTAAAATGTTTATGAATCAGTTAAATTTACTGAATCAAACGGAAATTTCAGTACGAGTTTGTACGTTGAAAGCGCAACAAGATCTTCGCTATGAAGAGGATATCGATGCGTTTTCGATGAACGGTGATGGAGGACGGAACAGTCCTGGGCCAAGGCAGGCTGATGAAAATAATGGTTAGTATCAAATTGGTATTCGAATGTTGCTTGCGATTAGCACCGAATGACATTGCTCTCCTTGGATTCAGTTATTTGCCTCTTTTGCAGAAATCTAATCTATCGAATTGGAATCGTTATTGATAGTAAAAATATGAGTCATAATAATGACTTGTTCATTGAATGATAAGAGTCATTATTTTTTCGTATTCCACTTCAATGTTATTGTTGCCATTACATTTATTACATAAAAATATATCATGATATTTGGTAATAATAATTATTATTGGAAAAAATTTTACGAATTTAAGAGATACGCGATAATGCAGAACTAGGTAAGAGTGCAGATTTGAATATTGAAACAGTAATCGACTGGAAAAGAATAGTGGAGATGTATTATCAAGCGAATGGTATGGTGGACAAAGCTAATGTTAATTTGGAAGTACCTTCATAAAATTGGACGTTCTTGTTTGGGTGCTTAGTTGTATTTGATTTGTTGTTAATTAGTTTTCATTTATTGGATAATGATTTGTTTTTATCATTTATTCTATACGAGCGATTTTTTCAGTCTTCGACTACTTCCTCTGCATAAATTTTTTCGAATTTCTGCTGTCAGAATTTTTATTTTTTCCTCACAACGAAGACTTTTGACTCACGATGAACTTATAGTGAAAATAAATATGCAGGCGATATGAAGAAGATCATGCTCGTGCGGAGGTGGTGGTGTTCGATATGTGTTGAAGCATATGTAAATTTCAGAATTTTATTCTTCAGATAGACTGGAATAATAGGTATCAGCACAGTGGAGTGGATGTACTGAATATTCTCAAGAATCATTCAATATTGCGTATTAAGCATAGTAACAATAGTGTGTTACGAAATTTTATTTGTTTTCGAACATCTTTTAAGCATCACTGCAACTGATTGTGAATTATGCACGTATATGAAAGGGAATGACGAAATAATATCATAGCAGTATTGTTTCCTTAATGATACTATCAGTCAGATAATATGGATTGTCTGCAAAGTATTTCATATTGTATTTATTAATTGGTTACATTGTTATCATTTTTGACTGCACTGCGGGTATTATCATTATTTGTGCATTGTTAATCTCCTCGACGGTCGTGTTCAGTTTGACGACACTCCATTTGTTTTTGCTTGTCTCATGAAAATGTTATGGTGGATATGTGAAACCATGAGCGGATATTATTTTTGCGATTCAGTTCAACTGCAATTTCGAAGAAAACGAAACGGAAAAAAAGACGGCAAGATTTTTGGTTGTATCTTTTATATGCAGCAATTATCGTCGAGAGTAAATTTTCCCCATTCTATTTTGAAATATAATATTATTCCAAAAATATCTTTATGTTTGTGCATTATTTTTCTGTTATCTGTTTGTATTTTTGTGCACGATTGTTTCTGTCAATAATTTGGAATAGAATGCGATTGGTATTAATTGCAGCAGCAAAACCCTCACAAGAATATCAGCGATAAGGCTGATTAGAAGAGTATGAAAATATTATCTTGAAATATTGTTGCCTTCGTTCTATTTATTTAAAAAATTGAGAATATATTGACTATCGAGTGAGAATGAATCATGTATTCACGTCTCACTCTCGGTGTTGTTGCTATTATTTGTATTTGATTGTTCCTTTTTTGAAATGTACATTGTCCACCTTATATTTGTATTTTTTAAATCATTTTTGAAACTTCTTCCATCGAAATGCGTTCGTTGAATTTTTTCAAATTTGTTTATTTCAATGTTTTGTTCGGCGATCACTTACAATAAAATTTCATTCAACTGCAACGTTTTTCTGACATCTTCCTCAATCGCGTTCTCGATTCACGAGTCACTCCAACGAAAATGTACAAAGTTTGTGCATTCAACGATGATACAACACAAACAAAAAACGACCTATAAAAACCGTTGTTGAATCACCAATTTTTGACGGTGCTATGTGAATGCGCAACAACGTTTATCCATTCTCTGTCACATCACTAAATTAGTGGTGGCATCCGAACGAGATTTCAATTCAGTCGGAATCCAACTGAAACAACTTTTCAACACTTCGATAGTCGCAATTCCGACGGATTTCGGAATTCTTCTGTTGGAACCCGACCGAATCCACATTTTCAGATTCCGACACCGAAACTTAAAATTCCGAATCTCGAAATTCCGACCTAAATTTGACGAATTTTTTTAACCGAACGTCGGTCTGATGCCATCCTTATTACTAATGCAATATGATATAAGCATTGCTTATGACACACTTCATATGGTACAGAGTACGGTATTCACCTAGGACGGTGATTGGCTTGAGTTGGGTGGCAGAAATCGACAGTGTTTCGCTTAACTGCGAACAAATTTTTGTTCTTCACATTCGCAATATTCGTTCAATAGCAATTCTTCAACAACGCACGTCTAATTCTCATTCATTACGCTTATTTCGTTCTAAATTAATTATTTGATTCATTCCATTTACTTATGAATTTGTTCATTTACTAATTTATTTGCTTGTTCCGAAAGAAGGGAGACAGGCAAATTGCGACTTGTATTCGTGGAATATTTTTTGTTTAAATCGTATTTTTTGTGTTCTTTTTCTTATTGTTACGTTTTTACGGCTCAAGGTGTAGATTTTATTTTTCATTGTTGCAACGAAATTTGAAATTTTGAACTTGTTGACACATTCAAGACATTGAATGAGGTGCGATGTCGTTTGTTGAACACGGTGGCCAAGAGGACAGTGTGGAGAGTATGGAGGAATTAAGAAAGAGGCTGGAAGCAGCTGAACGAGAGAAGCTGGAATTGAAATCGAATTTGGATTTGGTTGTTAAGCGTAATCAGGAAATGCTCGAACGACCCGCAAATAGACAAGTATCATATCTAAATTTCTTTCAGTCATTCTGCTCTTTTATTCAATCAATATCCACCGCAATAACGGTACGCATAAGATTGATGAATAGCTAATAAAACTCACCAAAAAATTCAGGCATATCAACGAGATTTGTGCCATAAATTCACAGCATTCGTGCAGAATCGACTGAGATTTCATCGTGCACTGGAACGAGTTTGTGCTGAGGTGAGCTTCTATCCATTATGCGATTATTGATACTCATTTATTTGTTCATTTCTGTACTCAGAATGCAATTACAAGTTGTTTCGAGTATATTGCTTTACTGTATGTGAATTCACCTTCTGCTTCCATCACTATCTCTTCAGCTCAACTAATAGTTCGGGAAAGATCCATCCTTCTCATCTTTGCCCGATCGATTAATTTGGTTTCTTCAGAGGCATCGACCCTACTGTTCGTTTATGCCAATAATTATGAAATATAGTTCTCATGTAACACTGATACCCAAATATAATGCCCCTTAAATTTTCGTTTTATATATTTTTGGTGACAGTATGATCGCTCAATTGAGGGTTGATTACAATTCAGTGTAAATCTACCCGAAAACAAGCAAACGTAATGTCTGCTGGCGTTGCTACTGTTGGCCTTCTCGCTTCTATACAACGTACTGCTCAATATTTAGGTAATTTTTTAAACACTTATTTCGATGAAAGATCTTAAATCTAGAGTAGAGAGCGATGTGAAGAAAGGAGAGGAGGTCAGAGGTATGCTCTGTAGTGGAGCTGTCGATTTGTCTGGTGCCTTCATCATCTAATTTCGTATCAGGATCGTTTGTATCTGTTGGTGCGATAGCGTTGAACACATATATTGGCTGGAAGAGCGATCGGGATGAAGCGGAATGCATTAGACAATTACGTATCCTTGAAGAGACTGATTTGAAGATGGTGGGAATCCTTTTGAATGCGTACGATGAATTTTGCGTCACATTCAAGGTATTTAGTGAGTCAAATTTAGTTTTCGTTTATTTCATCGACTTTCTTGTGAACATTGCAAATTTCACATTCAGCTAGCCTGGAAAAGTTTCAGTTTTGTCCGTTTACTTCCGTTCATTCATCAGTTTCTTGTTCGTCAGTCAATTTGCTCATTGTGACGGCTAGGGATTGATTATGGGTATATGTGGGTACCTTGTCTTGACTTGTAGCCGTCAGATAACAATTTATAAAGATAAATTGGTAATAAAGTAATGATTAACAAAACAGTTCAACAATAGACGAATTACGGAGATAATATAATATTACTTCAATAAAAAGGAGAAATTGGAAGATTATCAAGTGATTACAGTAAAACGAAATATTATTCTTAACGAAACGATATCCTCAATGTGGTCTCAACTAGCTTAAATAGCTCAATGATGAATGAATCACTTAACAGAACCAACAGATCGCCGACGTTGATGGTTGAGTTGAATTGTCCAACGAAGTCGATTGTAATTTATTGATGAAGATAATTTGCTTACTTGATTTGGGAAATTATATAATTAGGCCGGCCTGTGCGTTCAATTGTTTGCTTTGTTGATTCGTTATGGGTTGGAGTGCGATTGATTTGGGAGGGATGTTTGGGAAAGGAACTTGGGTTTTGACCTTATTTATATATTTGGGACAGGATGTGGAAATTTGGAGGTGCACTCTTTAATTACGACCTTAACTCCTTTGAGATTGGATGAGGGTAATTAGGTGGTTGTGGGGTTTGAGAAATTCACGGAGCTTGATCCGAACGACGACCACGAGTTGATTTGAACTGTTCGCGCTTATTCACAAAGAAATGACACAATTACGACACACTACAGTTTGAGATCTGGTGATTGGGATTGAATTTGATTTGGTTTGATTTATTGGATTTGGGACTTGAAGGCTTGGTTGTTGATTTGCTTGGATTGAAATATCGTCTTCGATTTGCCTTTCCAGACCTCAAACTTGGGTAATTAAACCCTTGTAATTACAACGATAACAACACGACTACGCGATTTACTACGACTACGTGACCTATTGTGAACTAAGTTTAGTAGCTAAACAAATACGAACTATTGTAATTGAAACGAAATAAGAAACGAGAAACAAATTGTGGTGTGCTAGAATGAAAGGTAAATGAGATACAATTTGTAAAACGAAATAATAATTTGTGAAGAGATCGGTCGAGGAACCGAATGCTACGAATGTGGGTGAGCATTGATTCAAGCAAATATTATGAAAGGATTGTGGTGTAAGATTTGAGATAAGATAAGATGAGATAAGAGGCATAAGGTGTTGGTTAGGTGCATGATGTGGTGTTGTAATTTGTAATGATGTGATATTTTGTGTAGATTTATTATAGTGACGTGATTTTGTATGATGTGATATTTTTGCGACAGTCTAGTCGCAACACTCATATTCGTGTGACCATTAACATACTGAATTCTGAGAGGTTCGAAAAGCTCCTGGATTCTGGGAAGCATTAACCTTATTCCGAAAAATCAATCCAAATGAATAAATGACACCATACGGAAACCTTTAAAAATAATGCAAACGCAAACAACTGTACGATGCAAGTTTGAAGACGTTTTTGTGTTATTGTTTTTGTTTTGAATTAAAGATCCCAAAAGAAATCGGTGATGAAGACATGATGCGATTACACCTCGACACAGTTTGTTCATCGATGATCTCGTTCGTTGATGGATACAACACTGGCGACCTGTCATCAACTCCAGTAGCTCTGCCAGATCTGGAACGCCTCTTAAAATATGGTTTTGAAAATGCAATCCTTCCGGTTCTTGCCCATATTGGTAATTCGAACGTTCCCGAACTGCTCAATCTATACTCCACTCTGGTTTGCGTTAATCATTTGAATGTATTTTTCGTTTCACAAAAAATTTTAGAATGTTTATTTAGTTTGTAAATTATAGGCACATACCAATTCGTACTTATCGTCCTTAATGCACTTATCAGTTCAGTATCGTGCATAATTGCACTACTCCTTCAAAAACATGTATGAATGCTATTCTTCGAGTGTAAACTGCGAATGTTTCAGTCGGACGCCGCCTCCTTAACAGTATCAGGTGCTGAAAGTGCGAACGATATTTTGAAAGCAATTTGCGGCTTAGTTCATGGATTTTGCGTTGTGAACGCTTTATTTGATCTGTGGAATGGATCCGAATCAGATGCTATTAAACGAATGAGGTCGTTTATTGAGCAACAAAAACATGAGCTGGAATTGTTTCAGTCTGCTGTTGAAGCAGTGAACTGAACCATTGAAACAATATTGCAGCTCACATTCTAGCGCCGACTTGTTCAGTGGATGATTGTGCGAATAATCATCATGGGCGCGTTAAATGAGCCATCAAGCCAGAGCTAAGATAACCAACACAAAATACAATCTGTCGGATACTCATCTTATCTTTAGATCAGGGTTTCTCAACCAGGGATGGTTGCACCCGTTGGGTATGCGAAATATTATTGCAGGGGTGCGAGGTAACATTTTATTTGAAGTAGATGAGGGTGGATTGCAACGCATACATGTGAATAAAGTAAGCGATGCGGACTTTAATGTATATATTTTTGAGAAGGCTAGAACGTGCTTTGATGGTGTACACATATCTACACTACAGACATTAAATGTAGTGGAAGACAGATGTTGTGAGGAGTTCAAGGATATCTTAAAGTTTTCTAATTGTAAGGAATGTGGGCGAAAAAAAGGTTGAGAACCGCTGCTTCAGATAGGTCCCGTGTGTCATATGATAATGAAAGTAATTGTAATTGTAAATATATGTGCTCATTTTTATCACAAACAGTTTTGTTCTAATTGCAGACGGTATTCAGGCAAAACGGGTAACTTCGTAGGTATAGGCTTAAGCTTTTCTCTCTAGCAAGAATGCCTTCTTGAAAGCAAATTCCTGCCACGTATTCAGCTGAATTGTTCATTTGTTCATCTTTCTTTATTCAGATAATTTTTTGTTCGTGAATTTTCAGACCAATTTGCTCACAGTAGGTAGATGGATGTGCTGATCAATCGCTTTACGTGGCAGAAATTGTTGACACGTGTTTATGCGTTCGAAATTTGATATTCATTAATACCTAATGTGATTCTTCTCATTATTCTCGTCAGTTTCTAACGGTTATTATCAAAATTCTGGTCATTATAATGTTATGCCGATCCTTACGTTGCATTGTTTTTTTAAAAATCATAATCCTTGTGGTCAGAGAATATTTCATCAGCGATTTTGTGTCCATATTGATATAGGTTTGCACAAAGAATGTTTTCTTTAGAGATAATGGTAATATCTGGTCATTATAATGTTATGCCGATCCTTATGTCGTGTTGTTTTTATCGTAATAGTCTTGATCAGAGAATATTTCATCGGTGATTTTGTGCCCATACTGGTGAAATTTTTATATAAGAATGTCCTCAATAATACTAACGTTTAATATTGCGTTCGTTCTGTGAACATTATCGATAGTAATAATTTTTTGTTAGTACTTATTTGTGTTTTTGACAACTCCAGATGTTAATATTTCGTCCATTGCACTGTGAATATGAAAATCGTGAACTTATGCACCTGCTGCTTCATAACTGAAATTTATTTTACGTGTTGCCGTTCAATTTGTTAATTCTTTTCAAACTGTGGAGATGAATACAACCAATGAGTTGATTTATTTGGAGTTAGAACTGTCAGAATGTCGCGAGATTAAACAGATTAAAGATTCTGGACAAGAATTCGAATTGTATAATTCTTGCAAAATCCAACTATAACTCTGAGATATCACTGACTTGCAACAATTTGAGATGGCGTTATTTATTGATTTCGAATGCTTTTTGGTCTTTTCATTTATTACCTTCACAGTTCGAGTTCGAACGACCTTAGCTGCGTTTGCTACGTTATTTCGAAAACTTCAAAATGAATGCTATTTTGTGGCAAATAAAATAAAATTATTTTATGGGTGAAAATTTTTTTTTCAAATGCTAAAGTTGTCGCTTTCATGCTAAACGCAATACTTTTATCAGTATTTGTTTTTCTTTTTTGCGTTCTTCATTTCGTAAATATTATAGAATTTTGACGATGAGAGAATTTTGGTTTTTATTCCTTTAATTGCAATGCGATACGTCTAACGTTTATAACATAAAGGCCAAACGAAAACTTCAACGTCATCTGACATTAAAATCAAAAATCAACATTTATTCATATCAAACAGCTTCTTTGATCACATACGTTAGAGACGAACCCAATGGCGCCTAGCCAGGATGTTTCCGGGAAGGGAAGGGAAGGGGGGGGGGGGAGAAAATAGTCTTTTCGAAAAATTAGCTGGATATTGGGTTGGATTTTTACGTTCGTTTTTTTCTTGCCCCCTCACTTTTACTCCTTATTTTTTCCACTTCCTTCTCACTTTCGTCCGCTATTTAGCGAACTTAAAAAGTGTCATAATGTGTGTGCCATTCGATCAGCTTGTTGTCTAAAATCTGTGAAGTGTAATTTTTTGTGATTCTTTAGATCGATCAACGAAAACGGGATTATCGCATAGTTGTTGTGTGCTATTATGCTATCGATGAATTGAATGGTCGGAAGCAATCAGTTGAGTAAATATTTTGCTTCATTTTGCTAACGACATATTGGTGAGATGCTGAGTGAGTGTTGATGATTACTGACCGAGGTATAAATAAAACAGTTTGGTGTGGTATATAATGACGAGCGATGATGATGACATTGGCTAACATTAACCTTAAGAATAGCAGTCATCCCAGTGATGTGATTGATCCAAAAAATGATCACATTTATCAGGGTCATGTTGATAATACGAATATTTGCAATGGTAACGCTAGTGTTGAGTGCAGTCAAAACGGAGAGCTGCAAATGGAAGGTGTACTGATAGAGAGTGGTACGAAGTTATTGTTGAAACAACACCGCAACAATAAACAATTACGAACCTCCGAATGGCCAATCAGACGTCTGCAGAAACCACACTTGAAAGAACTGGAAGAGTTATGCAAAGACGCATTCCCGATCAAATATCCCCATTGCTGGTATGAGGAGGTGCTGAATGGTAAATTCATCACCTTTGGTATCTTTCATAATAATTACCTGGTGGCAGTTCTAGTTGCTGAATTGAAATTGCTGAATCAGTGCAATGCTGAGGTTGGTTCTTTTCCATTATTACTCATAGTCAGTGTAGAGAGCGTTTTTATTCTCTGAATATTTACAATGTTCCGACTGATCCAGTTGGTTAAGTTTGTTCTAGTATAGTAATGTAAAGACAGACAGATACACACTTGTTGCCCTCACTCCTTTGGATGTTAGCATGAAGTTGAGTGTTTGAATCAGGTTAGAACAGGTTGGGATGTATACTGTTGGACATGGACGACGTTCGCAGATTGTCTGATTTTGAAATGCTGCGATGCAACGAACACTCTTCTAGGACAAGGACCTTTTATCTGATGGCTATCTTCCGGTGGTATACATTTTGAGTTTAGCCGTACGTTACGGCTTCAGAAGACTCGGATTGGCGTCACGTTTGCTCGAGTTTCTGCTCTCGAACGTCATTCAGAAGGCACCGTTCCCAAAAGCGGTCTACCTCCACGTTCTCTCAACCAATTATGGTGCTATTAACCTGTATAAACGTTATGGCTTTAGACATCATGCCACTTTGATGTTCGTTTCTTTCTTCTTCATTTCTCACTTACGAATAACCGCTCAACTCGCTCACAATCGGCAATCGCTTCAGCGTTCAATTCCGTTTTGAAATTAAACATAATCAAGCGATTGTTCGAAATCTGAGTATGCAGGTCGTGAATTGTTATCAAATGATCGCTTTATCGATTAGCGATACAAAAATGTTTTCATTATCGACAAACAAAAGAACGATGCAATCAATTTTTCGTGAAAACTAGCAGAATTGAAAGAGTTTTCCCCTGATGAAGTTCCATCCAAATCAAGTCACCGTTTGAAGTAGATCACCGTTACGGTGAAATGAAGTTAGTGAATGAGTCACTTTCAGAGACATTCCAATAGAAAAATAAATAGTCGTAACGCGTATACAAGTAACAGTGCTTCAAAAAAATTCTGATAAAACGTCACCGGTAATGTGGATAGTACAAATATTAATCTATCAAATTGATGTTTATGTCGAACAAATTTATTTTGAGTGATAGATCACTATGGAGTTTTGCATAGAACCAAAACATTCCCCTGGTATGCACACCTCATTACGGCCTACTGACTGAATTATTCGAATGATAACATCGTGAACATATCTCTGAAATCTTCCATGCATCCAATAGTGGTCTAGTGAATGTTGCTTGAAAATTAAGAGACATTATTAAACACTGATCAAACGTTCGATCAAATCATATATCATTTGCATGTTTTGAGGCTGATTGTTTATTCCTTTCGCTGATCTTTTCATAGCAGTATTTTTCAATTTTCTTTTATTCCACGACGTGTCTTTATGAAGATGCTTTTTTTCAATGTAACATTTCACAATAGTAATTTATTTTTCATGCTTACATTTAACGCACATTTAGCAAATTTCTCTCGCTCAATGAACAATAACAAAACCAAACAAAAGTCGATCAGTATCAATGATATGGATGAATGATTTTAAAGAAACAAATCAAAATTTCAGGAATTATTATTTAATAAATGAAGTGTACAGTGATGGAATGACATTCGTTCTATATACAAATGGCACTAAAGCACCTTGCTCTCTCTATGAGATATGTAATGCACTCACGGCTTATATTTGCTTCCCGTTCAGGATATTTCTACGACTTAGATTTTTCTTTATTCGCTTTCTTCATTGTTGAGAGATATTTTAACGCCGCTTTCTTTTCGAAGTTTTCGTTTCTTAGTCACAATTTATATGTTTTGTTTGTATATAATATTCTTCAGTATGGCCACAAAAGAAGTGAAATTCAGAGTTGTTATTTGCCACTTTTCGGTTGATCAGTAAAGCAATATTGATTTTCGTATGGCTGGAGTGATTCAAAAAAAGTGAGTGAAAAAAGTTGTTTTGTGAAATTGCCTCCGATTTGAGATGGTTGCCATATTGTAACTTATATGGTGATAGGAATGATAGTCATAACTAGTGTTCGTCGGGGAACGGGGTCCCCGTCGAGGACCCCGGCAGGGAACGCGAGGAGCGCTCTCCCCCTCGCGCAGTTTCCTCCCCGACTTTTTTGCGGGGACCTTCCCCCGTCCGTCCAATTTACTCCCCGCGGGACCCCCCCCCCTCGTGCAAAAAATTGCTCTTGGACGAACACTGGTCATAACAGTCGACATTAATAACGAAAATTACATCAATAATAACAGTGACAATCATAACAACAATAACATTAACAGCAATAGATATATGTATACCTGAATTATGTGCGACCAGTTGGCTGAAAGTTTCGCGCAGCGCCATCCGAGCAGTGCCAACATTGTCACACCCGAAGTGTAGCAGTAACAGTAAACATAGAAGAGCAGTAGTAATGAATATGAACCACAACAACAACAGTGACGACAGCAATGAATATCTCGACAAATATTCTCAATAAAATGAACGTTAAGGCAGTTTAGAGCGCATTTTGTTTGGCGCTGTGAGGCTTGCGACGTTCTCGGTCGAATTGTTGCTTTGTCCGAATTCTGAGGTCCTTTCCATTTCCTTAAAGTTGATTTTTGCTGCTCATTCATATGCATTTGATCACTTTAGATCAATCGATATTATACATTACTATAGAAATATGGGTCTAATACATTCAAACCTAGCGTCTTCTCAGGTTTGCCCGGTAACATATTAATGTTTATACATCATTCGATTGAGCAGAATATCTGCTTTCTGCAAATGGAAAGCTTGCCGAGAAATTCAGCCTCTGCGAGGAGATATAGCTATTTTCCTAATGCTATAGGGGTTGGCACATTCAAGCCTACCATACTCTCAGCCAGTAACATATCAATTTCTTCACACTAGTCGATCGAGCAGAATCTCTGCATTCAGGAAAATATGTATTTTGTTGGGTGATTTTGCTTTGTTGAGGAGATACAGCAATTTTATTAAAGCTATCATCTCAACTAGCGCAATGCTGCTCATTCACATGCATTTGATCATTATAGATCAATTCATATTATACATTACTATAGAAATATAGGGTTAATACGTTCAGTATGAAATTGTTGTGAGTGAAGTCGGCATCCATCAGTTGGCATTGATTTCGGAATTTAAATGAAGTTATCTTTTATGCAATAAATGATATAGTGTTGTGATTTCGTTGTGTTTGATTTTATGCTTGCCAGGTTATCGGTCATCGTGTTTGTATGATTATCATTTTTGTGTTGCCATCAATTCCACAATTACTCATTATATCATTAATTTTTTACAATATTGGCTTCGTTATTATTATTATTATTACTATTGTGATTATCACTGTTGTCAATGTTGGTCTCAGTGTTAGCGATGTGGTCGAACAAAAATTTGAAAGAAGACAAGATTACAAAGATTTTAGCAAACTGAGTACAAACTGAAAGAAATGACAACGAGCTGGAAATTTCGGTTATATCACTAAAACAGCTCACATAATGAGTTAAAATTTCGATCTTTTGTTAAGTATAATTTTGATATTATTGGCTTGTTCTTCGCTTTTAGTCATTTATTTTTGGTTCATCTGTGTGTTAGAAAAATTATAGTCGTAAATACTGTATCTCACATACTCATTGTTTGTCAATACTGTTGTGTTTCCGTTTTAACTAGCATCTGTAAAAATATTGTTCATAATTGGCAATCTGCAAACTTTGCGCGAGATTCAGCACTACGCAGAACTGCTCTGTTTTTAGATATTAGCTGCTTGTAAGTCCAAGCATGAGCGTATGTTAATCGCAAGGATGAGACTGAGACAGCCTACATCTGAATGGATGAGAGATATTAAAGCACGCTCAAGTAGGGATAGGTCGGGGACGAAAATGAAGTCGAAGATTTTGGAGTTTCCAGGTTCACGACCCACCCCTACACTCAGATGCACCGCTGAACTAGCGGAAAGCTTGCAGATTGCCTTTCTTGATTAGTAGTCAATTTTAGATATTGTTGTTATGTGATATGTTTTCGGCGAATATTCATTCTGAATCTCATTGTTTTTGTACGACAATCGCCTCTAAGTTTCTTTCTTAAATCTCCTTCGATGGGAATAAATACGTTTGAAAATGAGGAAAACTTTAGCAAAAACCTCGATTGATAGGGGATGCTTCAAATGAGGAATCACCTCACATTGTTTAGTGAGATGTTAGGATTGCTATCTGTGATCATGTTTCATCGTTAGAAACTTATAGAATGAGAATGAACATGAAGTTAGGTGATGAAGGTTGGCTTTTGAAGAGCCGATTGGGAGTGTGAAATTATTTTGATGGGTCTCCACCCCGGTCGAATGCTTTCAAATACCGATCGAGTTGGTCGTGCGTGAATGGTATTTGTAGGTATTTGTTCGTTTCCCCGTGATCAACGGAAACAACATTTTTTAAGGCATGATTTCGCATTACGCAGGATGGAACATTGGGGCGTGATTGTGTGATGCGAGTTCATTAGATCATTTGTTAACAAGTGATGTGATTCTTCTTCGGAAAGCTCATTGTCAGATGAATTAAACGGAAATATCTGGATATGAGCGAGCCGTCAAAACCCTTCTTTTCGAGTGATCGCTTTGAGGAAGAAAAAAGTCATAAAGAGTGAGAAAACACTAATATCTGTATTTGTTATGCAGACAGTAGAAATTCGGTTTCATTCGCTTCTAATTCTGGTTTTGAACGATTCTCCGATGCTATTTCACTAATTTCATCAAAATGATGAACGTGTCAGTTGAGTATTCGGACCTTTGTTCGGATCATTTCCTATAGGCTGAATGCGTTTGTCCTCACTTGATTGCGTTACATAAGCATCCCGGTCACTACGGTTATGAATGTGCACTATGAAGTATGCTGATTCATTTGTGAAATCGATGTTGTTATTTGTATTACTGTAGAACATAAGTTTGAGTTCATTTTTATAATAGTTTCGTTTCCATTCAAATGACACTAACGTAAATTTGTGGTTGTCTCAAATGCATTCTGTTTTTGACTCTATTCCATGTCCCTGTGTCTTCCTTCTTCTGTGCATTCTACCGATTAGTTTGTATTAGCTGCTCAATCTGCAGTTATCGCTTGTTTCTTCTACAGTTTTTGCGAGGATTTCGAGGAAACCGGTGAAATTACACCAGATTGAAACAGATTTAATGAATTTCACTGCATTCTGTTCTAGTTTCAAATGTAATTGTGTATTTCGTGAGCGGTAACTCAATGAACTCCGTTTCTATCCAGTGACTTCAGTGTTCAACCAATCAACCTTCGTTCATTCCATAGAATTTTCAGATGATTTGTTTCCGTAGATTAGAAAGAAGGACATATTATCAGCGCACGGAATAGTTCTGATGCAGGGAATAGTTTACGCATAAGAATCAATTAACGGCTTTCTCGATAATGGGAAGCTGATCGTGAGAAAATGATCTAGTATTAAAAATTTGTAAATTATGCTCTATTAAATCGATGAAATATGCTTTTTGAGGCGTTCTCATCATTGAATAATGCGGGTATTGTAACATTTTTTTGAATGAGTAACTTTGCTAGTTCTAGCGACTGACGATTTGAATTGTTGTCACTTTGACTAGGTGGTAGACATGCTATTTTTACAAAACTTGAGGAAGATAGAGCTATTTTCATAAAGCCATATCAACAACAGGCGCAAGGTATGCAGCGCCGATAGAGGAGGAAGTTATCATGATGATAATAAGCATGACAGATAAACGCTGTGTGAAAGAACTGCAAAGCAAAGGTTCGACTGGACTTTTTCAGCCGAGTCATTTTTTGAGCGAGAAAGTTTTGAGTTTCGAACAGAAAAAGACGGAAACTCTAGTTAATAAAAAGCGAAGTGCATGCATGATAAATTGTAGCACTCACCTGAATTGATTCTTGGACGGAATTTCTGATTTTCGTAATGACAGCCATGAGGTGTGTTGAGGATGCGTCGTGTAACTCGGCATTATACCGGTCGATCATCGCCTTCATATTCCATTCTTTGACAGACCAATAAAACCTCTCCACATCATCCACTCGAACAATCTCGTCGTTTGGCGTAAACAAATGACATCCCAAATCGAATTTTGTTATCACCGCATTTATACTATTCAATATCCACGCTTCTATTGCGCTCATCTTATGCGAGACCATTATGAATTTGGCTGTCATCTCAGTGGGAATATTGGGTGGAAATTTCGACAGTAACTTCAACTGAACGATTTGTACGGCCGCGTAACGTTGATTGGCACGTAACACTACGGGCATTATAAAGTCATCGATTTGATACCAATCCCAATGATTCATTGCCTCTTGAAATTGATCGTTGCTTGGGATGAGGGAAGGAGTGGAGCGATTGGGCTCAACGAATGCTGAGGTTTGTGGTGGTGGCGGTTGTTGGTAGTGACGTTGAGTGGAGGAATAGTGGTTGATGAAAGGATGTTGCACGTACTGTCGACGATTCGGTGCTGAGGTTGTGGTGTGTGAAGTGGCTGAGGAGGACTTCAGTTCCGATGACGACGACGACGACGACATCTCAGCGAAACGCTTCTTCGGTGGACGAAAATCCGATAGTGAAGTGCTGTAGTTGACTGGTATTTCGTGTAGGTTCTGAGGGTTGTTTGCACGGGCGTTTGCTTCAGTGAGCAAAATGGATGGATATAGAATTGGAGGTTGTAGACTGAGTTGTGGTGCACTTGGGATAGTGCAAAAGGACGACGACGAGAGCTGAGGTATCGATGTTGCATTCATTAGGTCGTAACGTTCGATGATACGCTCATACTCTGAATCTGGAGTGCTGGCACGCACTGCTGCTGATGATGGCGGTAACGGTACAAATCGATGACCGAACACTTCTGGTGAACCTACCACCGAGATCTGTAAACAATAAGTGTTGTTTGTTCCGTATTTGATACTTGATAAGAACAAACTGTTAAACTGGATCAGCTCGATTGCCGCCTGATGGCCATCTTGAAACAGTTTTTATTCTGACTAAATCTGAACTTTCTGAGAAGGCCAGAATCTGAATTATGTTTCGATTCAAGTTTGAAATGGAAATCAGGCTTTGATTCTTCGGCTTATAATTGGTTTCATGCATATGGACGATCGCTAATTTCAATTCTAACTTATTGTTAGTGGTAATAAGAAATGAGCAGGCGAATTTGCATTTTGGATTTAGAATAGCATCGTTATTAATTGATCATTAATGATAATAAATTCAGAATAGCATTGTTGATCATATGAGCGAAATATCTAAAATTATAAAGCGTTAAAGTAGTGAAGTTGCAATGATTTGGTGACTCTTCTTCGTTTGTTTTCCAATCATTTCTATTTCAACAGTGAATTGAAGCTTCATGGATTCCAGATGAACATTTCATCTTCATTGGGGTGAAGAGCTTCAGATAATAGGGGGAATTTCACAGAGTACTGAATTGACAGTTGTTCGGCGTCTAGTGGTTTTCGTTGTTTTGCGATTCACCACGCTTGAAATATTCATTGTGAAATCGAGTCGACGAAGTTGACGCACGGGGACAATTGATTGGGGTTTCAACAACAATTGATTGGATTTGAAGACCGGAGACGAGACTTCGGATTCCAACAACAACAATCGGTTTCGAGTTCAATGACAACAATGACCAAGATTTGAGCTTGAGGTTTTGGACGATTGAGGGTGTGGCTCTATGTAGGATGATAAGATTTTTGGGAGGTTGAGGGCAGCTGAGATAAGGTAACCATGAGATGGGTTGATATAAGAATATGGGAACACATGTCACAATTGAGAGATAAGGAAAAGTACAATATGCGGACATAGATGAGAGCATTATCAATGAACCTTATCGTTGGTGTCATTCTATGACGGTTGACGATATCAATATTTACACGGGTGACATTATCAGTTATTGTGTCAATATTTACAAGAATGACATTATCAAGTTCTGTACAAGAATGCAAGAGTGACATTATCATGGCGTCGATTTACATTATTTACATGAGTGACGTTATTTAATAAGAATATATGTGAATATTACTGCCTTAAACAATAACAGTTAGCATCAACAATAATTAATATTAGGAAGAAGTTGCGAGTTCGCAACATTCATAGTGGAAATGAAATTCACTTTTCTTAACATTCTAAACGAGCTGAACTTTAGAGAATTTCGAGCTTTTGAGATTTTTTGTAATCTAACAACTTTTACCGACTGAAAGAATGTGAGGAAATGAATGGAAATTAGTGAAACTGCAATTATTAGGAAAGTAAGTGAAATAATAAGAAGATTTTGAGAGGATTCAAATGATGTTTGTTGTGTAATAGATGGAAGTGATATTCAGTCATTTAAATATGACAAAAATGTACACCGCTATTCAATGATAAAAATCAATCCGATTTTGTGTGTATCGATTGAGTAATATTCATAAACTTTACAGAATGGCGAGTAACAGTCCTTGTCTGGGAGCGTTACTGCCTTCCGCACCTGGAGGAAGAGGGAATAGGAATGTAAGGTGAGGGATTACAAGAGCAACCCCCTTACCCCTCTTACGATGGTACAATTTTCTTTGACTCGCATAATTCATCTTTATGGCCTGTTCCTTTTGCTCAGTAAGGTGTTCCTTTCACACTTGACAAGATGATGCCTTTACAAGGCGATGGAAATTCTCCTAGTCCACTCTGGACGTAGATATGATCCATCACACAGAAGAAAAAACTTTGCGAGCGAGCGAATTAAATGACTTCTCATTTAGTGCCGAATGATTAAACGCTTATGCAAATACCACGCAATTTTTGATTGATGATAACAGTAATAATGAAAAATTGATAGCTTCTTGTGAAATAATGGAAAAAATGAAATCAGTAAATCATATGATGATTTTATGATGGGACGTAAGCATTCAATCAGTTTCACGAGATTGTTGATTGAGTAAGAGCCGAAGATAAGACACATATAGCATCCGAGAAGAACTGATAACAAGTGATAAGAATCGATAAGCAATCGAATATGAATAGCAAACGTTTCGTATAGAGCGAGGAATGAAACAACAAGAGTTTTAGAGGATTCAAATGATGTTTAAGTTAGAATTAATTGCAAATGATCTATGAGTTTGATGTCGATTTACGTATAATCATAATATGATGCCAACACAATGATTCATACGTTGAAACATGAATAAACCATGTAAATACTGAATACTCAAATGTATTTGAAATTTACATCTATGATAAATTTATTAATTTATCTATGAGCTGAACTCATATTCAACGACATAAGCGAAAATTTTATTTGAATATGTTCATTTGGATCAATTCGAATAAAATTTCTTTTTGCATTCGACTCAAACTGCAAATTGGTTACGACACAGTGCGAGTTAGAGAGACGTATTCAAGGTTTCTGAATGGAAACCAAATGGGATGAGACGTATGACGCTAGAAAAAGATGACAAATTCTCGGTACGACTTGACAGATTGGGTGAAACTAATTTGAGACACAGGAAGGACTGAACTTAAGAAGGGAAAATGAATGGTTTGCATTTCGTAAAAAATCAATCATTTCCGCTGAATACTTCATCCAGTTGATAGACCATTCAAATTTGCTCGTTTGTGAATGTATAGTGAAAATATTTTGCATGCACTGATCGTGAGTCGTCGTTCACATTCGAATTGCTAACTTTTTTACGGAAAACTTGATAGGTACTTCGCAAGAAGGTGTTTTTTCGCTCATCATGCGATGATAACAGACATAATGAGGCTGACAGTGAGACATAATTCAAGCCGTGAACTTCATAAATATTTACTTCTTTAAAATCTCCATTCAGCAATTGTCTATTTAAGAATGAAGTTGAAAGCGATTAGTTGAAAAGAGAGCTTTTTGAGGTGAACGTCAACGGAGATGAATTTTCTTGTTTGCACGCCTTTTGCACTATTTGGCAACTTGTGAACATAGCTCTAAAGCTTTTTGCAACAGCTTCAATTGGAAGTGCAAAATGATTTCTTAAATGTATTCCGTTTTTTTTCAAGCATTATATCATTAGAAACGTTTTTGTGACGGATAGGGTCTAAAGAATCATTGGTAGAGCGAGCGGTATATCTTCGTGATTTGTTCTTATAAGTGCTGCTTGAACCAAGACGTAAATTAACAAGGTGTGCGCAGAACGAAGCAACAACGGCTTGATCAATTAAGCATAAGGTATCGCCGTCGGCAGCGATTCGAGCACATCGAATTCAGATGAACGAAAATTTGATTCAGCATTTCTAACCTTAAGTCCACTGTTCGCTGCACCTTGAAACGAGTATTTTCGTTGCGTAGTTGTGGTATTGTTATTATTGCTAGTATTACTATTACTGGTGTTGGTGCAGTCATTTCCGTTAGATTCCGTGTTTGTTGACGCACTGTTGCTCGGCGCTTGATTGAATCGGTTGTGAATGTCTTGTCGAGACAATTTCCGTTGATATCCATCCGATGTGCTCAATGCGGCACCCCCAAAACTATTTGCTGCTCTTACAGTATGTTTTGCAATAGGACTTGAGCAACTCGTATTACTGTTATTACCATTACTGCCAGAAACTATAATCACGGAATTATTAGCGTTTGTAGAGGGCACAGTTTGAGCGTCAGTAGCCGTATCGCTAATGGTAGTAGTGGCGATCACTGTACCTTCTTGCTGTTGATATTGCTGGCGCTTATGATTTGTTGGAGTGGACGATCGATCTGTCGATTTGTTTAGTACAGTTTTGTTGGAATTATTCTTATCATTATTATAATTATTGCCAATATGAATAGTATTGTTTTTGTGAATATCACTCGTTGATGTGGTAGCGTTGTGGGATGCAATTAGATTACGAGTAGAAATATGGCTATGAATTGGAGTAGCATTGACGGCTGTATTGTTTATATGAGGAGTATCAACGATAGACAAACGATTGCTATCTGTATCACTATCAGAGTCAGTCTCGTCTTCCCGCTCCAGAACGGATAACTGACTGTAGGTTGGTGCTGTTTGTTGCTGTTGTTGAATGGGGGTTGAATTCGTTGATTGTTTGATGACTGTAGATGAGGAGGGTGCTGTTGATTTGGGGCGAGATATTTTAGGTGGTTGTTTCAGGGAAGGGGGAGATGGTGAAGACAGGGGTGGTGTTCGTAGGGAAACAGACGCGGATTTTGGTGGAGGAGACACGGAATTGCTTGCTGATAAGGAATGGTTATCCTGGTTGAAAGTGATGAAATCAGTTTGAATGTTGTTAGTAATAGGAGTAGTACTGCCGTTAGTAGTAGTTGACGACGAATGGGTGGGTGCTGAATCGCATGTGGAGGATGGCTGTTGTAAGTTGTTGTACGACCGACGTTGCGTTTGCTGCTGATGCATGGTTAACTAGAATCAATGAAACGTTAACACTTCATTTCGTATCATATCATTTGATTGGAATAATATCAACTGATGATCGCATCGCATGTTTTGCATATCACATTTATTATCATTCTTCATTTATTTTACGCCATAGCATTGGACATTACTAGTTATAACAGTCAAAGCAGTGATGATAGTGGCGAAACTGTAAACAACAAAACAGTATCTATCCATGACAAATCTCAACCGTGATTTTTGCAAAGATTATGCAAATACACATAAATTTCTTCTTTCATGAAATATATCTATGCATTCATGTATAACTATGGCTAATCATAAGCATTTTGTAGCTAATCGAAATGTATTTACGTTTTTGGATTTATTTATAGAATGAATTAATTCAGGTGTATGAATGAGAACGAACAGTTTATTCATAT